TCCTGTTGCATCAGTTGTTGCATCACTTTTATCATCATTATCGCCAACATCAATATTTAATTTTTCAACTTTTTTAAATGCCCGTAAATGGAAAAATCAAATGTGTATTGTATAATTATTACTGCAATTCCATTTGGTACTTTGCATTTAATAATGAATGCCTCAGACTCAAATTCCCTTCGAGAGGACTGCAAGTTCCACAATGGCATTGACCCGAACAGAGGTTGCGGGTTGCAGCTCGGGCGGGCTCCATCCAAAAGGCCATTGATTCGCAACGGTACGGTTGCCCCTGGCGCCGATTCCATGGCGGTTGAGGGCACCCTTTTCGCGGCGGATTTCCTCTGGCCAGCGACAAAATGGGCCGGATACTTCGGATCCGCAAACAGGATGTGGTCCTTTCCTCTCCAGATCTGGGTAACGTGAGAGCCACACTTGAGGAGAAGCTCAAACTGCAAAGGGCCACAAAAAAGTCGAACTCGAGCCTCCACCAGAAATCCTGTTCCTGATCGGCGGCCTGGCTATGACGGTCATCCAACACTACGCCCAAGCTATGGAGAGCCTCGTGAGCGTGGAGGCGATTGCAGACCCGAATGTGTCGGATGTTCCTCCCCATCTGAAGCCAATCATCCAGGCCATGGACTCTCCAGAGACTCGCTTCACACCCTCCTCCTGGAAGAAATTCTTGGACCAGGCTCCTTTCTCTCTCGTTAAAGAGGGTGTCTTGACGACCTGGTCCGCTTCGGCATGCAAGGCTGGAGCACAGCTCTGGTACGAACGGAAGTCTTTCGTGAGCAGGCCCCCCCAGAGAACACTGATCCAAGAGCTCAACAAGGCGGGTGTCGGTATGGAGGTTGATTCAAGCAGGCCGGAGTGCGTGGTCCTTCAGAAGGTAGCCCTCTTCCACTCCGATGCTGGTTTCCCGAAAGTCTTCCCTTGGGCGTGGACGAGAGCCCCCAAAATTTGGGAGGAATTGGGTTCAATTCTATCGGAATTAGAACCTCCGGCTCCATCCACCGCCCAGCACGGACAGGACATTGCTTCGATCTTTGACGCTACACTCATTGTCATTGGAGTGAATGACAACGTCCGGCAGAACACCAAAAAGGAAGACCACGGCGCCTACCCTCCATGATCTTCTCAGGGTAGGACAGTGCTGGACGAAGCGCCCTCCACCATCTGCCAGCGAGCCAGCCGCAAGACCTCCAGAACCGGGTGTCCCTCGTTTGTGCGGGGACACATCGTCCGTGCCCCGACTGAAAACCACCGCCACAGTCTGGGTGAAGCAGACGCACGGACGCGGGCTTGTGGGCATCTTGGGTGTGGAGGTACCATGGAAAAATCGAGCCCTGTGTGCGGAGGGCATCTTGGAGTGTCTCTGAGAGAGGTGACCCCGATCTGGACGGTCATGTTGATCGTCATTGCAGGTGAATACGTGGACCGCTGCGATTGGTGGATGGTTCTGTGAGGCGTTGAATCCTGAGAAGTGCCAAGGTGGTGGTTTGCATTCGATGTCAAGGATGCAGCCTGGTTGACACCCCTTCTGAACGACAACGCTCCAGAAGAAACGGGTCGCGGCCTTGGAGCTGTTGGGCTCCATTTTGCTCTTCCTTCTGGCAGCCAGAAACATGAGGTGCTCTTCTCCGCGTTGTCATACCTCTCCGCGCCGACAACAAGAAGAATGCCTTCTCAGCCTCCTAACGCTCAGCCAAAGAAGTGGCCCTGCTCGGCGTTGCTCATGGAATTGGCAGTGCAACATACCCAATTAGCTTGCTATGCGAAGATCGAGCGTGTCAAGCGCTGTTCAACCACCTGGGCAGACCAGCTGACGCACCTAGACTTTGATGGCTTCGATGGCACGAGGAGATTTGGTGTCGCCTCTTCTTTTGAGCCGGGCTGGCTGCTTTACCACAGCTTCTTAGCCTACACAGTTCTTTGCAAACAATGGAGAGAGGATGCGGCTGCCTCTGGTACTGATCATCCTTGTTCCAGAAGAGTTTGCGCCAAGCTTTCAGCTGGCAAGTCTTCCAGGAGATCTCGTGATTTTTCCACAGCTCCTTAGCCTGCACAGTTATTTGCAAACCTAATGGGGACAGGATGCGATTGCCTTGAGTACTGACCGAAGAGTTTGCGCCAAGCTTTCAGCTGGCAAGTTTTCTAGGAGATCTGGTGCTTCTTGAAGAAGCTCCTTAGCCTGCACAGTTCTGTGCAAAACTAATGGATACAGGATGCGGTTGCCTCGGGTACTGATCGTTCCTGTTCCAGAAGAGTTTGCGCCAAGCCTTCAGCCGGCCAGTTTTCCTGGAGATCTGGTGATTCAATACTTTCTTTCGCGGGACACCCGGCTTCACACGCGGGACATGCAGCAAATATACTCGGTCATCTTCGGGATGCTTACGCATCCTCTCTCTGACCCTTATGTGTGCTTATGTGAGTGACGTTTTGCCGGTCAAGCCCCTTTCGAGGGGCCTCGCCGGCAGCTCCACTTGTGAAATGTGGTTTCGAGAATACTGCCACCGACTCGGGTCGATCTCGCGGGAATCAAAAAGAAGGGTTTCTTTACCGCGCTGTGACGATTCAAACTGATCGGAATCTTATTGAGTTAGTAGGAGATTGAACGCTATATTAGAATTCATAGTAATCCAATATATAAATCGGAATTTTATAACATTGAAGCTAATCAAAATGGATAGGATCCCATTAAATTGAAGACGAATCTTGTTAAAATGAATCAGAAACAATAGGATTCCTACGAAAAATAATGTGAACCCTTTAGAATCCTATTAAAATTAATAGCCCGTTTAAAATGACGAGGAATCCCTTTTTAATGAACGAACCCTCTGAAAATTGATACGAACCCATGAAAGTGAATAAGAATCCGATTAAGACTGATCGGAATCCCGAGGAAAGCCGTTTTAACATTCATTCTATTAAACTGAAGAGGAATCCTACTAAAATAAATAGGAACCAGTAGGACTCATACAAACTCCAGCAGAAGCTGGAGATTGTCATGTGAATAGGCTTCCTATGAAACTTACTCGGGCTTAATTATAGGATTCGTATGAATACATCTTATTGAAATTTCTAGGGATTTTCTTAAAATTCATACGAAGCCTATGAATATGAAAACTGATTCGAGTCTACTTGAATTTGTAGGAGCTTATTAAAATAAGTAGGAATCCTATAAAATGTTTTTTTGTAATCCTATGAAAATATATCGGAACCCTTTATTGAAAAGTATCTTCCATCGCACAGCATCTCAGAATCTCATCAGAATCTCTCACAGATTCCGGCACAGCTTAAACACCAGTGCTTGGTGCACGGCGTGGCTATTTGCAGAAACATTTGATTCGTAATCATGAAAAAACATATATTCCCTTCGAATGGTGTTGAGGACAAATAGAAAAAACAAAAAACCATCCTGGGAGGAGATGCTTTGGGCGTCGCTCCGTTTTTGGTTGTTTTTGGTTTTCCCTCGTGTTTTTGATGTTTGGGCTGAAACACCAACATAAACCTCGAGCTCTGCTAGGTTTTTACTACCACCACATGATCAAAGCCAACGAAAACTCGAGTGTTTGGTTTTTCAACTGAAACACCAAATGACAAGGGAAAACCAAAACAACAATCCTCGGAGGAGATATTTTGGGTGTCGGTGTTTGTTTTTGTTTTGCGTAGTGTTTTTTGATATTTCAGCTGAAAAGCCAAAAAAACCTCAAGTTCTGGTTGGTTTTGTTACCACCAGAGGGTGATAACATACCAAAAAATCGATTTTTTTTCAAGGTTTTCAGCTGAATACCAAAAAAGAGAGGGAGGGCCAAAAAAAAAACAAACCTTTCAGCTGAAAGCCCAAAAACAACTCGCGTTTTGGTTGGTTGGTTTTGATTACCACCAGAGGGTGTAAAAACCAACCAAAATTCAAGTTTTTTTTGCATTTTTTTAGCTGAAATTCCAAAAAGCGCGAGGGGAAACCAATAAAACCCAAAACATCGGAACTATACCCAGAGCATCTCCTCACAGGATTGTTTTTTTTGTTTTTTTTGTTGTCTTTTTGGTCTTCCCTCGTGTTTTTTGGTATTTCGGCTGAATCTCGAATTTTCGTTGGTTTTTGTTAACACCAAAGGGTAAAAACCAACCAAGCTCGAGGTTTTTTCCTGTATTTCAGTTGAAATGCCAAAAAACACGAGGGAAAACCAATAAAACCAAAAAGTCGAACATCTCCTCCCAGGATTGTTTTTTTTGTTTTTTTGGTCTTGGTGCGTTTGTTCTGTGGTGGCAAACTAATAACTGACCATAAAGGGTTTGTTTGAAACGTGCCAGATACCCCATGTTCAGTCATGCGAAGACATGCGTTGGATGTTCAGTCATGCGAAGACATGCGTTGGATGCATGAATGGCTCAAGGCTCAAGGCTCAAGAACAAAAGAGTGTGAGCGCAAGGGGTCCCTTTAATCTTTGGGTTCTCCTTGGAGTTTCGAGGGACTTGACATTGCTCTTCAGAGCTGAGCGACAAGCAGCTGCAGCAACAGCTTGCACATTCAGACATACTTGCAACTTCATTGCATCAAGGAGCATCAAGAAGACCTTGTCGTTGCTGTATTTGTGTGCTGGCAGAAGCTGGCTGTTTTGGCGAGAGTTTCAGAGGACGACGTTTGGGATTTGTTTGGAAAGAAGGTTGCAGCAGCAGCAGCAGCAACAGCAGCTGCAGCAGCAACATTTACTGCACGTGGGCATTGGCATTTCCATTTAACATCTCATTATCTCGACTCCATCATATAAACTTCATCTCGTTCTCCAGGTGGGACAAGACACGAAGGGTTGGGTTAACCTTAATCCCATCCTACTTGCTTGTCATCTGTTGTAGCCCAACACCCTACTGTTCAGGGCTTCAGGGCACCGGCCCCAGCGTAGGACCCTGTGTGGGATTGGTTGTGTGGTTTCCTCTGTTCCCTATTAGGTTCAGGGTAGGCAAGAGGTTTCGTCAGGACTTGAAAGGCCTCGGGGGCCATGAACATAGATGAGGAGGGACTCCCATCTCCTTCGACCCCTAGAATAAGAGCCATCACATATCCCGATCATTTCAGTCCTGTGACCGACACCACAGGAAGTCCAGAGCCACTCCACATACCAGCACATCCTACGACACCAGCAGCACTCACACCCTTCCCGGGTCATAACCGACAGGTTATGAGCCCAAGGGGCACCACTGCAGCATGGACACCGCCTCCAGCAGTACATCCTTTTGCAGCTTCTGCTTCAGGTACAACTACTCCGTTTGCAGGTGCAGCCTTCACGCAAGCAACTCGGATTGAGGTCCCGGTACACGTGTTGGAACAATTTGCACAGCAGAATACGATTGACAATGAGATCCTTGGAGATTTACGGGCGGCCGTTGTAGAACTACATGACCGCATGCAACACCGCACAAACATCCTTGGAACAACAACTACCTCGTTGGCCGACGGCTACAACCTTGTGGTAGAAAATTTAGGGCGTCTGCAGCAGGGCCTTGATGCACACAGTGAAGTCATCACTCGTCTTGTGCAGGACAACCGAGGAATTCATGATGAGCTTGAAGCCACGCGCGCCCAGTTGGAAGAGGTTCGGACAATGGCTCAGACCCCTCGATTGGGACCAGAACAATGGCAGGCTCAGGTGGAAGCACACATCTTGAAACTTCAGAATGAGTTCGACATGCGAATGAAGCAGGTCGATGATGATCATCATAGCACCAAATCCCGTGTTCGAAATCTTGAGGACAGGGCTGTGAGTAGGACGGAAGTTCCTGATGCTCACAGTGTACAGGAACAGGTGGACGAGACCTTTTCTGCGGTGCAGCGCCTCAGAAGTGTCGTCGAGGCTAAGCGCCTGGAGTTAGACCATGGCTTGGCAGGCACTTTGTGAGCAGTTTGCCATGAACTCTGATGGTGAGGAACAAGCAGACGAACAGTATCTTGATGCCTATGAAGGTTCATGGTGGGGAAATCAGGCGGGACTACAAGGCCAGGAGGAGCCCGAACGACCTCCAGGCCTGACATCTTCCTCAGCACCCTCTTCGAGCCAACAGGCATTGAAGCCTCTGGATGAGCCCATTGGAGGGCCATCTGGACAGAATCCTGCTCCAGTTGAGGGCAGGGACACCAGTCAGGAACAGGGCAATGCAATACATCATGCTCGATGGAAACTCCTGGCTGATGTTCCAAGTTTACAGGTTGGTTCAGGGGAACCGTGGGAAGTCGGAATGAGATTTCGCACGTGGTTGAAACAGCTTGACACAGTCGCTGGCACCATAGCACCCGCTTTTGGTACTTTGGTGGCAGCGCAGGTTCAGTTGGCGGAGCAACGTCATGGCGAGAGGATGGCTGGCTTGGTCACTTTGGGACCGCCGCCGGATGTGGATCCACGAGATTCTGAGTGCGAAAGCAGGCTTATCCTTCTGTTGATCCGTTGTCTTCCTCAGGAATGGAAAACAAGCGTGCTGGAACAACAGGACGAGTCCAAGGGCATGAGAGCTTTGGATCTCCTAGAGGAGTCTTCGAAGTCCTGCAGCCCGGCGGGGCTGCAGAGATGCAATCAACACGTTCGTTCGTACACTTCGGCCTGTTACGACAGCAAAGGATGGACTCAGTGTTCTTCGGCGCTGGCGTCTCGCCAGAACCAGGGCCACAGCTCTGGCACTCCCAAAGTTGGCACCGTTTGAAGAACTACAAGCTCTAAGTACGATGGCACAGACTTTGGAGCGGCGTCATGATCGTTTTCGCGCCCTCTTGGGCTTGCTTCGGACAGATCCCGACATCATCCGCCCCACAGCAGCTGGAGTTGAAAAGATGGTCACTCTGATAGAGCAGCAGTTGCAGCTGCTCAGCGCTGATGAGCACATCAAGGCGAACAGGCAGCATGAGCCTGATCCTCAAGCTGCGAAGGGCAAAGGCGATGGCAAAGGAAAGGACAAAGGCAAGAGAGGGGGCAAGGAAACGAAGAAGCCATGTGAGTTCATGAAGAAATACGGGAAGTGCAAATTTGGCGACAGATGTCACTACAGCCACGATGGTCTACAAGGACAGGCGCCAAGAACGACACCGAATCCTAAGGCTGCTCCAGTTTCGACGCCAGCTAAGGAGTCTGGTACACAGGAGTGTCTTGCATGGGCCAAGAATGGGAAATGCAAGTTCGGCGACAAGTGTAGATACCAGCACAATGGTGAAGCGAACAAGGCAGCAAATCCGAAGGCGAAGCAGAAACCAAAGGCAAAGGCCAAATCCTCAGCATCAGCGGCAAAGGGAGAGTCCGAACTTGTCGGAGTGAAGCCTACAGCGTCTGCTATCCGTGTTTCTTCCAGTGTTGCTAGAATGGCACGCAGCATGCAGAGTGAGGAGGAGAGCAGCAGTCAGGCATTTTCTGGTGAGGAGTTTGAGAGTCCCATGCATGCAGAGGCAAGTGCTCCCGAGTGGTCAGATGTTGAACAAGGAGTTTTCCCTGATGAAGATTCAGATGTCTCTGCAGAAGAAGGGGACGATGAGCGCAGGGGAGACGATCCTTTGTGGGTACTTGACTTAACTTTGCAGGATTTTGTTGCGTGGACACGGCCAAATCACATCCGGACCAGGGCAGAGAGGCTTTTCCGCGAGGAGGAGAACCCATATGCAGTCACCTGGGGTACATGGATCATACTACATCACGACACCGAGGATGCAGATGAGGCTGGTGCTATCCCGATCGGGGACAGCGTTGTGATGCTCCAATACGATTGGACACTTGTGATGTGCATCGATGCTGTGGCACGACCTTGCGTAGTAACACATCTCATGGACGAGGACACTGGCAGAGAGAGACTGGTGGCACTGATACGAGTGCCCTATGAACATATGCCGTTTGTTCGTCCTTGGGAACATGCATCAACATCCAGTCAGTCAATAAGACTTCCGTGTGACCAGGCTGCATCATCGACAGATCCGAGAGCTCCAGCTGCAGAGGCACCCACAGTACCGCCGCCGCCTCCATGTGTGAACTACCAACCTCCAGCACAGGGACGAGCCCAGGCAACTGAGATGTTTCATGTGCATGTACGACATCCACCAGTACATGGAACTTTACCTCAGAGGAGAAGACGCAGTGCGACACAGAGCGACATGAGTCATGCTTGTGCTGCTAAGGGTTGCACGACTGGGTCAGAGCATGATCTGGTGTTGGCAGACTCAGGTGCTAACGAAGTCATTCGCCCGGCCCAAGACCAACCGCCGCCGCGATCTATGCAGGTGGATCTCACGTTGGCAGACGGAAGTGCAATTCCATCCTACAGGTCTAGAGATGGAGAGCTTGCCGTTCCGGGCAGTGATTCGTGGATAGCACCCATCGGCAAGATTGTGGAGCTTGGCTACAGGTTTGTGTGGGACAACATGACGGGAGCGCAGCTGATTCGGGGAGAGGGAGATGAGGCAGAAGTTATCTACGTGAAAGTGGAAAATGGCCTTCCCTACCTTGAATGGCATGATTTTGCAACATTGCGGCGACAGCTTTCACAGGCTTACAGACAACAGAAACGCGTGCTGTGTGCTCGTGCTGAGATCAAGGAACCTCAGACCTTGCAGGCCATCACCATGAATGACCTGGAGGAGTGCGAGGCGCAGGCAAAAGGGGCGAAGGATCGTGAATCGGTGCAGCATGGTGAGAATCTTGCGCGGAAAGTGTTTGAGCAGTCCACAATTTCCTACGATGATGTGCTTGAGGTCATCATGAAGGCAGACATCGAACCACAGAAAAAACGTAGAGCATGCATTGAGGGAGAGGACGACAAAGTGAAATGTTGGGTTTTTGGAGCTTTTGCAGTGGGTCCGAATGTGGGAATCACAGATCGCACAAAGGGCAGACCGTGGCTGGTAAAGGTCATCAACAAGTTTATGCATCAGCAACTTCCTGACATGCGATGGTCATCTTTCTCAATCAGTTGGGACATCGCTTTTGCACCACACCGTGATTTAGGCAATGCAGAAGGCAGTCAGAATGCATTGGTGGTCCTGAGTCACAAGGGCATGTGCAAAGGTGGTGACCTTTGGATCGAGCATCCTGAAGGCGAACATGTCAGACGGGTATCTGATAAGAAGGCTTTACGTGGACTACCTTGTTTACAACTCGCGGAGCAGCATCCTTGAGCAGAGTCCAGCAGCTACAACTTGATGACGTTGGCTTTACATGTTTCCGTGACTCGACGGGAAGGAGCATCAGCAGAGCGGAAGATGAACAGCGCAAGCAGCCTGAAGCACACAGCAACAACATCTGCAACAGGGTCCCTCGGACTTCAGGGTGTTCAGGGAGCCCGTATGGGAATGATGTCGGACAGGATTTGGTTTGTTGCGGGGGTGAATTTCAGGGTTGCGAAAGAGAGAGAGAGGTAGAAAGCGCCCATGGCCCTTGCTTTTCAAACTGGCAGCTGCCGGATGCGCGCACAACTTCCGATCTCGAGGTCCCCGTGCCTGAGGCCTATTCTTCTGCGTGTGCTGGAAATGCAGGCACTTCTCTTGATCCTCTGGAGCTCGAATATGAACTCTCATTGCCAGATCCGGATGGGTGTCCTTCACTGGATGACCACGAGAAGGCAAAGGATGATCTTGAAAGAGGCCCCGTTGCAGCTGAAGAAGGCAGGAAGCCGACGAAGAATGTGGCAAACCATGAAATGGACGACTACAGAACTCGTGGAGTCAAAAGGCCGCATCGAAAGATCAAGCCGGGAGACCTATCATCTGGCGTACTCTCCATTGATCTGGCAGGTCCATACCGGGATGGGTATGACAGCTCGAAGTATATCTTGATCGCTGTACTGCGAACTAAAGATGCGACGACTCTGCCCTTCGTACGCGCTCTTCAACGACGATTTTGGAGTGATGTGCTGGAAGGAATTAACTCCATCATGACTGAGATATCTGCACTTGCAGGGTTCCGTGAGGTGGTCAGGATCCACTCAGATAGGGCCAAGGAATTTTTGGCAAAGCGAGTCGTGAAACATCTCAACGATGCGGGCGTGTTTCAGACAACCACCTGCGGCCACGACCCGGCAGGAAATGGGCTTGCAGAACGCTTTGTCGGAATTTTAAAGCAGTCGGTTCGTGAGTTCATCGTGAAAGGTCAGGCGCCTCACAGATACTGGCCACTTTACTTTCAAGAAGCAGCACTTCGATATCGTGATACATCTCTTGGTGTGGCATGGCAAGGAACTTTACCATATCCTGGTTCCCGTGTGGCGGTGAAGGTGATCGATCCTGCACCCCTGGAGGCTCGGGCTGAAGAAGGAACTTTCCTGGCACGAGATTCGCGCGCAACGCATGGGGCACGGGTTCAAGTAAGGAGAAACGGTCGGGACATCGTTATCTTGACCAGATTGCCGGCAGTGATCCGTGAGGGGGATCGTCAGTGGCACACCTTCGAGACGACCTCTGGAGACCTCGTGTGGATTTCTGATAGAGGTGAAGCGCACAACGCAGATGCAATCCGAGACTTGAGTATTGACTTAGGACTGCTAACCGTCGAAGAGCAATCACTTGGTCAGAGCCCTCTGGAAAATATCCAATCGTGGCACAGGCTGTGAATTCAGTGGATGTATCGGAACAGCGAACCCCTGAAACAGGCAAACACAAGCTAACGTACCATGTTTGGAGTGCAGATGCTGAAAAAGAAGCTTACAAGGCCGAGGCCCGAGCACTTGCTACTGCAGGAGCTGATGAAGCTGAAGCCGAAGACGATGTGCATCTTGATGGGCGTGTTTTCACAGAAGGGCCTCAACATCTACAAGAAAAGTGGAGAAAGGGGCTTGAGAAGGAGCTGACAACCATGTTTGATACTAAGGAAGCTTTGCAGAAGGTAAAGGCCAAAGACTTGAGGAAGACTTTAGGGCTCAGCCCACATGATCCGTTGCCAAAGACATTGCCTTCGAAGCTGGTGATAAAGGCAAAACCGGATGGAATCCCTGGTCCAGATGGCAAGATACCACCTGTGAAGTTGGATGATCCCGAAACCTTTCAGGCGAAAGTGCGCATGGTTGCTTGTGGAAACTTTGACTATGATGTTCGACGTGGGGACGCAAGATTCAAGTCCAGCAACATTCCACCGGAAGCGATACGGGCGAGTATGTCTGAATGTGCAAGCTGTTGCTGCAGCTGCTTGTCGCTCAGCTCTGAAGAGCAATGTCAAGTCCCTCGAAACTCCAAGGAGAACCCAAAGATTAAAGGGACCCCTTGCGCTCACACTCTTTTGTTCTTGAGCCTTGAGCCTTGAGCCACTCATGCATCCAACGCATGTCTTCGCATGACTGAACATCCAACGCATGTCTTCGCATGACTGAACATGGGGTATCTGGCACGTTTCAAACACTCCTCCTTTCCAGGAGTTCATAGCCCATGAGGACTGGAACTGCATCTGTGCCAGATCTCCTTGCTCTAAAATGTGCTGCCCCAAAATGTGTGTGACACCACGGGCATACACCACGAGCTAGTGTGAGCTACTAGGCGCTTTTCTCAGGACAGGAACAACAGCTTATGGCAACAACTGCTCTTGCCCCGAAAGAGCCATACGATATTTCTTTTTTCGAGGTCTTGATGTTTCTTGGTCTCAGTAGACTTGACATCACGGCGCCTTGAGACTACCCTACCCTAGCACTGGACTATTCCTTCGGTACCATGGGATATTGGGTAGCATCATGGCTCTATGTACACGAGCTGATCAAGAATTGGCGTTCGATTTCTTCGCCTCATACATTCCCAACAACTCTCGAGCCTTGCGTAAAGCGGTGCAAGCCAGCGCTTTCGTCAGGCCATCTGCAGGTAACTCCTTTCCAGAGCAGTGTTCTAGCTTGGTCTTGGAGGCTTCAAGATGATCTCGAACATATGCACACCGAAGGGCATAGTGCCGCGTTCTTTGGTCTTCAGTGTGGTACCCTGGATCAGTTAGCTGCAAGATTGAGGCAACGTTGTTTCCTCGAAGCTTATGTTCAAAGTGTTTCCCCGCAATGCTTTGGATGATACTCTGTGTCTTGCATCCCATCTGCAAAGCACTTCCAAGAGCGTCAAGTTCTGCCTCCGCTGGCGAAAACGCTGTAAGCGTCTGACGCTGGCTGCGCCATGCGATCAAGTGACCCCCCCAATGCACTGTTATCCCTGTACGAGACTTGCTCCCACCGGGTGCCCAGGAAGCATCACTGCAAGTCGTGACCTCATCACAGCTTCCGACAGCATATCTAATGCCCCAATACTGAGTGTATTTAACATGTCGCCAAATGCCTTTGGTTACACGCAATGCTTCCTCCGGGTTGTGGGACATCAAGCTCGCAGTGGCTCCCACACACGCAGCCAAATCAGGCCTTGTACGCAAGCTGAGCCATAAAAGTGCTCCAACCTGACTCTGTGCCTCATGAAGTTGTTTCGCATGCTGGGTATCCTTGATCTGCATCTCCATTTGTCCCTCGTGCAAGGTAGGTAGGCTTTTCGAGCCATGTAGGGTATGCCACCCCCGAGATTTCAGCTCTGCGCCCACCCATGCCTCCTGGGTAAGGAACAGTGCTCCGTCTTGTAGCCGGCGAATTTGGATGCCTAAAAATGTGGCTTCCTGTACCACTGGAACATTGACATCTGCAATCCGAATCGTTTGGCCAGCCTTGAGGCCAATTTTCTCGTTGACAAGGATAGCTTGAAGTTTCGTGTCCCAAATGCCTTTTATTAGGCTCGCAACCCTCTTCATGATCTCCCTTTCCCCGGCGAGTAGTCCATCGTCGACATACATCGCAAGGACGCCCAGGATCTTGTTGTGGTTGTCAGCCTGGACAATTTTCCACAATCCTGCGCTGATGTCCCATGGAAGAAGTTTCAGGTCGCCCAATGCATCGCCCTTGCCAGCCTTCAAGATAGCATTGTCCAACTTCGCATCTCTGGTTTTCTCCCAGGCCTTGGGAGCTGCTCGTAGACCGTACACAGCCTTTCTCACAACCCAAAGTTCATCATCATCCATCTTCATGATCTTTTTCACGATGGGTGGAGGACGGAGCAGGATTACCTCAGAGTCATCCAGATCTGCATTCATAAAAGCTGTCACGATGTCCATAAACGCGCATCCCCATGAAGGATTCTGTGCCACCAAACTGACATCCCGCATGCACTTTTTCGGTATTTCTAGTATTTTCCGATATTTCCAATTCCGATGCCTGCGGGCATCGACTCTGCGTGTCTTGTGTTCAGCTTCAAACCCTGTCGGTTATGACCCGGGAAGGGTGTGAGTGCTGCTGGTGTCGTAGGATGTGCTGGTATGTGGAGTGGCCCTGGACTTCCTGTGGTGTCGGTCACAGGACTGAAATGATCGGGATATGTGATGGCTCTTATTCTAGGGGTCGAAGGAGATGGGAGTCCCTCCTCATCTATGTTCATGGCCCCCGAGGCCTTTCAAGTCCTGACGAAACCTCTTGCCTACCCTGAACCTAATAGGGAACAGAGGAAACCACACAACCAATCCCACACAGGGTCCTACGCTGGGGCCGGTGCCCTGAAGCCCTGAACAGTAGGGTGTTGGGCTACAACAGATGACAAGCAAGTAGGATGGGATTAAGGTTAACCCAACCCTTCGTGTCTTGTCCCACCTGGAGAACGAGATGAAGTTTATATGATGGAGTCGAGATAATGAGATGTTAAATGGAAATGCCAATGCCCACGTGCAGTAAATGTTGCTGCTGCAGCTGCTGTTGCTGCTGCTGCTGCTGCAACCTTCTTTCCAAACAAATCCCAAATGTCGTCCTCTGAAACTCTCGCCAAAACAGCCAGCTTCTGCCAGCACACAAATACAGCAACGACAAGGTCTTCTTGATGCTCCTTGATGCAATGAAGTTGCACGGGCAGCCCACGGGAGCGTTTCACGCAAAGCCGCACGACAAAAAAACATGAGACGGGACGGGAATAAGATGAGTAGTGGACAAGACTGAAGATTCCCACGCCGCCACTTGCCGCGCGACATTCGTTTGAATGATAATTGTGCCTTCACGGGCCTTGACGAGTGCCCGGCGGCTGGACATCTTGGTATCATGCGAAGAGATCACTGCAGTGGCTCTGCCGGGAGCGATGTGACGCCTCGCTGGCACTGCGAGCAAGTCACCTTCCACCGGAGCGCGCTGCGGGTATTTACATGTCCGACTCGGCTGCAGCGTCTGATTCAAAATTACAGTCAGAAGACATTTTTTGGCAGCAAATCCTTGAGCGTCGTTGTTACGATGACGTGGAAACAATGTTACAGGTACTATCCTTACACAAATCTTGGCCAACGATGAGGACTTGTAAGACGAACGTAGTGTATAGTAGTGAATGAATGCGTAGTGTACAGTGCGATTCCCCGTGCCACAGCAGGGAATTTATATTTGGTCTCAAAAATTGAGTTTGTTGTATGAGACCTTTGAAAACCATTGTGCCCGAAACCATAAGCCATAAGCCTGCCTTTGTGCTAATTCCCCAGTTGTTTGGGGTCTTCGCCGGTTCTATTTTCGGTAGATTGGCTGCCCAAAGCCTCCGCCGAACATCAGCAACTGCTGTTTTGTTCGGGCCGTGTGGCCAAATGGCGACGTCATGTGAAACCAGCCAGCTATCAACAGTTTTATGGAGTAAACTTTTTTTCACGCAGTGGTTTGAGATTGCTCGGACGTTTCAAGCCGAATTTGTTATGCACTAGCTAGATAACCGCATATTTTTCCATGAGCTTGTCCTGAACACGGAGGAAACGGTCGTCCGTACCATAGCCTCCGTACCATGGCCTCCGTACCATAGCCTCCGTACCATAGCCTGGCACCTCACCGCATCGATTTGGACAGTTTAAAGCTGGAGGTGGCCGCAGCGCTTTGGTGCACGACAAACATTGCCCCACGCAAGTGGCTCAGCAACTCCTCGGGGATCAGTCGTGCCGTCGTGGCCAATTATGTACGCTCCGTGTTGAGGTCCCGCTGCCGGCGACCACCGATGCACCCAAATTATTTCCAATTCAATGTGGCATGGTTTCCTTTGTGTTTCGCTGCGCACGCGAGCCGCTCCCGCGCCCACAAACCGAGTACACCAGCTGCGCACACCCACACATGGTGGGGTATGTAGGCTTCTAACCTCAAGCTGATGACCGGACCTGCGGAAACCGCGCGCAGTCCGAGTGCATCCGCATTGCGTGAGCTGGTGTGCAGAAAAGGCCCGGAGGCACCTTGGTGCTCGCCTTGGCTTGCCGTGCTCCAACACGGGGAGATCGTGGAATTTTCTGCGTGGCTGGCGCTGCTTCTTATGCCCAGGCTAAAGAGCTCTGTGCCTGCTGTCGAGCTGCGTCGTCGCATGGACCATGAAGGCGGCGAGCGAGGCCAACCAGCAGCGGATCAGGGCGCGGCCCGCGCTTCCCGCACTCCACGGTGTTCCACCAGGCAGCAACGCCCCCGCCCGTGAAGCTGTTGTTGCAGCGCATACGTGGTGTCCATGGAAAGTGGGACCCTTCGCTTAGGCGACAGCGGGAGCGGCAACCACAGCCGGCGCAGCATCAAGTGCGGAACTCGTTGTTGGGCACGATGAAATCCGGCCCGGCCGGGAGGAGAGTAAAGGCCACACTAGCACCCCGTCGCCAGCCTGGGACAGCAGCAGCGCCCGGGATGCAGTTCTTCTCTTCTCTATTGCGGCGCCAGCCCCTCCGTCCGACCCATGTGGGCACGTCAAAGCCCCGCAGCCGCAGACACTGTGCCGATTGTTCCGCCTGGCGGGTGCTGAGTGGTGCGTCCAGCGCATCCACATCACATCACGAAGCAGGCCCAGCATCGTTGCGACCTTGGAGCACAAGCGATGCATCCTGCTCGGACGTCCCCTGTCCGTGGTATTGTTTGTCGTCCTGTGGACCCTTGTGTCGCACTATTTGGTTATTATGTGGTCACCGCCTGCGGGCACTGTCCGCGCATTTCGCGCTCGGGCCATGGATGGCCTCTGCATCAATGTCGCCGACATGCGGCCAGCAAAAAACATACTTGTGCCCGCTCTGAGTTCTCACTGAGTACATCGCTTTGTTCAGGCTTTTGCATTCTGGCAGCGACCTTGCCCGGCCGCTTGCGTGGCACTTGGCGATGCGCCGCTTGTAGCCCTTAAAACATCGCAGTGTAGGCAGCCGCCTAAGCGCGCCGTTCTGCCACATCCACGCGCAGCGAGGTCCCAGACAATGAAACCCTCGCCGAGCGCAAGCGGGAACAAACCTGCACGAAAGTAAGGATGGGTGAGCTTTCTAGAGCACGCCAGCTCCTCACCGCTGCAAAGTTCGCGCCCGGCGACGAAGATACGTGGCGTGCGTTGACAAACCCTGCCCGACGTCCACCGGAACCTCGCACGCCCCTTCCCAACGCAGTGGAGGAGCCGTAGTGCCCTGGCACCAGCGTTGCGGAAAGCTCGGCGAGGAGGCGTTGCGGAGCTGTCGGGCATGCGCGCGGAGCATCTGAACATTTTGCTTATCGACGTGCCCGCTATCGAGCTCATCGCTTTCGTGGCAGCCAGACTCGCGAATGCGGAAGTACCCGCGGGCATCTTCCCGGCCTTGGCTCCGGCACGCTTCACGGCGCTCCGCAAGCCGGACGGCGGTGTACGCGGCGTCGCGACGGGCGACGTGTTCCGCCACCTGGTTTCCCGAGCTCTCGTCAAAGGTTGGGCGACGGCGAAAAAAAACTAAAAAAAAAAAAACTCAGGCTATGCGACCATACCAGTTTGCTTTGCAGGCACATGCCGGCACGGACGAACTCGCAGCATGCGTGCGAACGGCACAGGAGCTGCGCGATGGTGCCGTGTTGATTTCGCTCGATGGGCGGAGCGCTTATGACACCATGTCGCGAGCTTCGTTCCTCACTGCGCCGGAGTTGGTCCTGTTCGTGCGCGTTTACTACGGGAGGCCGTCCACTTACTGTCGGAGGGATGCGCAAGGCCATTGCCACGACATCACGCAAGGAGAAGGGTGTGAACAAGGCGTAAAGCGCTGGGGCAGCTCGAAGCGTTGCGGAACCCTCCGACAGCGTTGCCCGTTCATCGAGCACGCTCGCCAGCCTTCGCTGATGCCTGCATGCGTCAGCTCACTACAAACGGGGGGCTGTGCGCCAAGCCTCAGGTGCGGCCGAGGCACGTGAACTCTTGCAGGCGGAAGGTTGGCGTGAATGCCCTACTTGGGAAGCAGTCGGCGCGGGCGCTCGATCACCTCGTTCCATCGAACAGGGCCTAAGCGAATGGCCACATGGATTGCAGCACTGTGCATCGCGTATTCGCAACCTTTACTTTCACGAACGCACGCTGCTGCTTTCCCTGTCGCCCTCCGCTGCACAAGCTGGGGTCTGGCTGACTGCCATACCCTGTGAGCCGGCCTGCACGCTTCCGCCCCAAGCAATGCTGTTGGCACTGCGGTCGTTGCCCTGTGTGCCAACCGTTGTGGCCGCCCGGATGTGGAGGCGAAGTGGATGCTTATGGCGACCACGCCTGGCATGGGTGCGTGTGGCTCGAGAGGCCGTCGGTCCGGATGGGGAGGTGGTCCCCCAACAGTGGCTAGCGCACACACAGCAGCACCCAACGTGCGCTCCGACGACCGCCGCTCATCTACGGCGCGATGCCTCTCGGCGGGGCTCTCTGCTGCGACGCAACACTGGTTTCGCCGCTGTCGCGCACAGGCTTGCCCCAGCCCTGCGCAGCTGGCATGGCTCCCGAGTATTTTTTTTCCCGAGTGTTGTTGCTGAGGCATCTCCGCTGGGGGATGCGAACGGGGTGCTCGTGTCGGAAAGCGTCACGGCAGCATCTATCTCGACTATCATGTCCCGCGGGAGCAGCTGCATCTGCGCTAATGAGTGCGTGTTTCTTTTATGGACATTGTTTGACAAGCCTGACAGAGTATTGTTTTTCAAGCGACGGCACAGGCTCTGTGGGGTTCCCGGCTCACGGGCCCGGCTCCAATGGTGTCGGCAGCAGAAACATTTGTGGGCGTTGCCGACAATGTTTCTGTTTTATTACTTTTCCACCTGCACGGGTTGGGCGTCCGGCGGTATGTGCTGCAGTGTCCTTGCCCGGGGGCTAGACGGCTAGACGCTTCGCAGTGGGCCTCGCGGCTTCAGCGAGGTCGAGGACATGGTCGAGGTACGGGCCCTGGGCCTGGCTCGCATGGGGCGGTGCACGGAAAGCATCCACGTCGCGCCCAGGCCGAAGGTGGCTGCAACGCGCACCGCTGGCGGAGCGCGCTGGGCACGGACGCGTGCAAGGTCCCGGCGCAGCTGCTGCGCTCCTGCATTCCACTGGCCCCGCGCCTCGGAGCCCAAGACGAGGAGCTGTTGCGGGCCGCCAGCTGTCGCGTTTGCGCCGCTCGGCGACCCGCAAGTCGCGCCGTAGATCACGAGATCCAAGCGGCGGCCATCATCAGCGGGGGCGCCTGGCGCAGTGGTGTGTGCGAGCTATTGCTGGGCTACTTGGGCGGCCAATGCGTCGGTACCGGCCCGCGCGTGCAGAGCATATTCGTCGCTTGATCGAAAATGGGTGCCGGCGCCAATTGCTGGCCAGGGCACGTGACACAAGGTGGCGGAACACGTCGTCAATTCACACAGTCACGCATTCCCGTTGGCACATTTGCACCCAGGATTGCGACAAAAAATGTGATGCCAAAGTGTGCTTTGTTGAATGCATAGTCTTGGCGTGTTAGGATGCCCTGCTAGCTGTGACGGGTGTGCTTGCAGAATTCGCTTCACCAGGTTACAGACACGGATGACAGGAAACAAAAAGAGGGCCATTGGGCTCAGTCGCAACATTCACGGATCATATTTGGGGTTCAGTGTGCTCGTCCCTTTCGGGTTCAAAACCGTTTTCAACTTCGACATCCATCCGTATCATCATTTGTTAAGTCCTGCATTCTGTAATGAACGCAGTCCCCGGCTGCAGTCCGAGCGCATGGCGTTTTGGCATGCAGGGGCTGTTCTGGCTGCTGTGCGCTGCTTGTGGTAGAAGGACCCCATAAAAGACAGCCAGCGACCGCCAATGACATGCCAATGACATGCCAATGACTGCCATACCGCACCGCCACCAGGTTCACGTGCTCTGCTGCGGATGCGAGGTCAGATGGGCTTGGGCTCGCCAGTGGCGGCCTATTGGTGAATATCAGATCTCCAATTATCGCATCGACCACCCTGGAAAAGGCCTGGCTTCAGACGAGACATGTTCCAGCGCACAGTGACAGAATCGAGTATGTCTTTTTCAGAACACTCTTTCACTCTTTCTCTCTCTCTCTCTCTCTTTCTCTCTCTCTCTGTGTCTCTGTCTCTCTCCCTCCCCCCCCCCCCCCCCCCCCTCCCCTCCGCCTCCCTCCCCCCTCCCTCCCTCCCCCCCCCACCCACCCTCCCTCCCCCCTACCCCCCTCCCCCCTTGCCCCTCCTCATCCCCCCCCCCCCTCCCCCCTCCCTCCCTTCCCCCCTCCCCCCCCTCCCCCCTCCCTCTTCCCTCCCTCTCCCTCCCCTTGCCCTCCCCCCCCCCTCCATCCTCTCTCTCTCTCTCTCTCTCTCTCTCCCTCCCTCCCTCCCTCCTCTTGCGAATTCTTTCGCACCAGGCCAACGTATCGGCCAGGACCGGCACAAAGCGTTTGAGGGTTAAAGCGTCAGCTCCATAGCAATATTAGCCATCTGGGACGCACTCGAGGGGCACTTCTTTTCCCCGCTCTTCCCGTGGAAGCTTTTGGGTGACTAGTGTGACTAGTGGTGACCAGAAGTATTTAGTTGAAGTTGAAGTTCAGCAAACTCAACTAACAGATGCGCCAAGAGTCATGCCCTCCAGGATACATATACGTGCTGGTGACTCAATAGCAGCGCTTGCTGAAGCAACCTGCCGCCACCTCCAATCCGTTGGGGCAGGCAGCACAAGATAATTTAGAAAGACTTGGCAGAGGCAGGAGGAGTTTCTTGAATCCTTTTTTCTCATCGTGATTTATTTGCCAGGTGGGTGCCAGCTCAGGGAGCTGACAGACATACAGGACGCCCGAACCAACTCGTTGCAGTTTGCTGAAAGGGCGTCGATCAGCGTCCTGGTTGTTAAGAATATGTTTCAGTTTTGTGTTTATTTTGCGAGTTGTGGCTCAGGTCCTTCGGTCGTGTGTTTGTTGGGGCGACTCCAATCCTTCCTTAGAACTTTTCTTGTGAAATGTGTGGCTCTGTGAAATGACTTGTAAGTGGCGCTTGTGGGGACATGCACTTTTCGCAGCCGGTTTCAGAGTGCAGAAACGTTTTGCTTTTGCTGCTTGATCTCCTGTGGCTTAGACATGTTTAGACGGAAGAAGGAAGGAGGGCAAGTTCGTGGGTTTTTCAAATGCTACCAACAGGTGGTCCGATTGGATGATGGTAAGTACTTGACGAATTGCTTTGCATTGCTTTGTATTGCTCTGTGTTGCTTTGTGTTGCTTTGTGTTGCTTTGTGTTGCTTTGTGTTGCTTTGTGTTGCTTTGTGTTGCTTTGTGTTGCTGTGTATTGCTTTGCATTGCTTTGCATTGCTTTGCATTGCTTTGTGTTGCTTTGTATTGCTTTTGGAGATTTTGTGCTGCAGCTTCTTTCTGTTTGCTGTCCGCATAAGATTATGCCCCGACACGGTGTGGTTAGCCGGGTTTGCAGAGCTAAAACAAGCAGCCTTCCCCGTGTCGCAGGAGTCTTTGCACGCCTTGGTCGAGGGCTTTAACAACATAAGCCTGGGAGAACAGACCCTGAAACAATTGCAATTCGGTTGGGACCTCTTCCTTACGTACAGAGCTTTCGAAGAAGCCCGTCTTCATTTCATCACTGCGTTGGCACGGTTCCCAACCAGCAGATATCTGCTTCGAGAATTGGCTGCTGCTTCGACGCTGGCCTTTGTACTACCTCGCTCTGGTGATGCGAATGTGTTGCACTGGGGCGCGAATGGCACGTGGGCACATGTGACGCCTCCAAAAGTTTCAGCCTTGGCTGAGGCTTTCGATGGTTGGGAGACATATTCCACGGTTCGGTTTCAACAGCCGCTTATGTTCTTAAGTGAGGAGGAGCCCGAGCTGCTGAGGGCCCACATGCCCCCACACGGCTTCTTTCCATGTGGAGAAATTCGTACAACTGACAGCAATGTTGGCATTTTGGGTCTTGTTTACGAGCATCGGTTGCAACATGATATGGAGCTGATACAGGTGCTTCGGGACTTGAAGCTGATACAGGCATCCACAGCTGAAGGGGCAATCGCAGCTTATAGTCGCGTCCTCGGTTCGGCAGAACACGTTGACGGAGGTTTTCTGCGACCGACGCATGAGCACTGGCACAGCTTGTATCCCTTTCATAATCGACGGCTGTACGTGCATCCAAGTCCACGCCTTTCGCTTCCAGCATTGAATCCATATGCAGAGCTTGATATCCAGCTGCTGCGCAGTCAAGCTCCAACTCCAGCTTCGAGCCGAGCTGGTGGATTCTTGGCCACCGGCGGTGTCTTGGTGATCGACCACCTCCTATCAGGGGACGCCTTGATGCACTTGCGAGATTTTGCCGAGCTTTCAACTATCTGGTATCAAGAGCGGCCACACTACCTCGGCGCCGGGTTTAGCACAGGCTTCTCATCACCGCTCCTTGCACAGATCGCTGAAGAGCTGCAAGGCTTGCTGGCAGACGTTTTATGCGATTTACCGTTGGCTAATGTGTGGGCCTTCAAATATGAAGACGGGTCTGACATGGGAATTGATTTGCATGCAGATGCTGCTGCGGTGAATGTAAATTTATGGATCACGCCAAATACGGTGAATCTCGACAACGCCACTGGTGGACTCGTAATCTTTGATGCGTCTGTTGACGAGCGGAGCTCATCTTTTGAGTTGTTCAACCAGGTCGGCTTCGACACTTCCAGAGAGTCCGCCTTGTCGGAACTGATTAGTCGGTCAGGCTCTGCAAACGTTACAGTGCCTTATCGACAAAACAGGGCTGTGATTTTCGATTCTGCCCGGATACACACCACACAAAGACTGGACTTCAAGAAATCAGGAGTGCGGTCGCGGCGCATCAACATCACTTTTCTGTTCGGCGCGAAGGGGACCTACTGCCCTCTGCGACGTGCAGCAACGGTTGTGCTGGATGAGTGACAGCTCTTCCAGATTACGACAAACCAGTCTGCCATGTACATTTCGAACAAGAAGCGTCTTTTTCGACGAGCTTGCCAAGCTCTGGACGACTTTGTTCGCTGACAATTCCATAGCTCAAGCTGGCCAGCGACCCGATGTGACATCAACTGTGAATTCTGCTTCATGGCTGGCAGCGACCGCTGACTTTGCGAAGCACCTCAAAACCCGGCCACGTGGAAATTCTCGCGTGGGGTTTTGTGAAGTTTTCTTTTTTTGTTTTGTGTGTGTGTGTGTGTGTGCGTCGGGCGGTGATGGAGGGTCGAAGCAGCAAAGTTGGGGACGAGATGGTGCACCATTGCTCGGTAGCATTGGCCCAAGCCGGTCGCAAAGCGCCAGCTTCGGAGCCACTCAGCAAGGTTTATGGGTTCCTTGGCAGCAATTCGTTCGGCGCATGTTCACTTCAGATTCTTCAGTGTCTCAACAGTATTTGCGTTGCCGAGGCTAGCTGCTGGCCGCCTTGCCACCTCCACTGGTGTAGCTGAATAGTTAGTGTTCCGAAGCTTGAGGCTATGTCGCAAGCACTTCGACATGTTTGTAGCTATCACTGCAGACAGGATCATACCAGGTTCGGATGTCATCACCGTGGTTTGTATAATGCATGGTTCTTCTACATTTGAACAACTAATAGCTCCACGACATCTCCAACAAAATAATCAGGGCCATGGGCTGCTTTGCCAGCAAAAAGCCAGATCATGCCAGCCCACAGGAGATCCGACAGAAATCGACAGATTGCGTGCTGCTGAAAGCTTCCGAAGGGCTGCGTTCAGGAGGAAAAACCGGAAGAGGAAGATACAGACCAGCTCATCGAAGCCATTGTGCAGCGAATTGTTGCCCAGCTGAAGTAAAACTTAACACGAATAATTGGCGGTGCCGTATGGTGCGGTACTTGTAAGTCAGTTTCAGGTGTCCTCGCCTCTTCCGGCGTCATGTTGGTGTGCAGAAAGCTTGTTGGGCCCACATACCAGCATCTTCCCTCCACCCTCTCCTCCCCTTCTCCCCATCCCCTTCTGCCTGCCCCTCTCCCCCCCCTTCCCTTCCCCTTCCCCTTCCCTCTTCCCTCTTCCCTCTTTTCTCTTCCCTCTTCCCTCTTCCCTCTTCCCTCTTCCCTCTTCCCTCTTCCCTCTTCCCTCTTCCCTCTTCCCTCTTCCCTCTTCCCTCTTCCCTCTTCCCTCTTCCCCTCTTCCTCTCTTCCCTCTTCCCTCTTCCCTCTTCCCTCTTCCCTCTTCCCTCTTCCCTCTTCCCTCTTCCCTCTTCCCTCTTCCCTCTTCCCTCTTCCCTCTTCCCTCTTCCCTCTTTCCCTCTTCCCTCTTCCCTCTTCCCTCTTCCCTCTTCCCTCTTCCCTCTTCCCTCTTCCCTCTTCCCTCTTCCCTCTTCCCTCTTCCCTCTTCCCTCTTCCCTCTTCCCTCTTCCCTCTTCCCTCTTCCCTCTTCCCTCTTCCCTCTTCCCTCTTCCTCTCTTCCCTCTTCTCCCTCTCCCTCTTCCCTCTTCCCTCTATCCTTCTTTCCCCTTCCCCTTCCCTCCCCCTTCCCCGTCCCCCTTCCCCTTCCCCCTTCCCCTTCACCCTGTCCTTCCCCCTTCCCCCTTAACCCTTCCCCCTTCCCCCATATCCCCCTTCCGCCTTCCCGCCTTCCGCCTTCCACCCCTGCCCCCTTCCCCCTTCCCCTTCGCCCCTTCCCCCCCTTCCCACTTCCCCTTCCCCCTTCCCTCCCCCCTCGCCCCCTTTCCCCCCCCCTTTCCCCCCCTTCCCCCTTCCTCCCCCCCTTCCGCCTCTCCCCCCGTCCCCCCGTCCCCCTTCCCCCCCCCTTTCCCACCCCCTTCCCCCCCTTCCCCCCCCTTCCCCCCCTTCCCCCCCTCCCAACCTTCCCCCCCTTCCCCCCCTTGTCCCCCCTTTCCACCCTCTTCTCCCCCCCCCTTCCCCCCCTTCCTCCCCGCCTTCCCCCCTTCCCCCCTTCCCTCTCCCCCCTTCCCCCCCTTCCCTCCCCTTCCCCCCCCTTCCCATCCCCCCCACCCTTTTCAACGCCTTTTCCCCTTTCCCCCCCTTCCCTCCCCTTCCCCCCCTTCCCCCCCCGCCCCCCCCCCTCTTCCCCCCCTTCCCCCCCTTCTCCCCCGCCCTTCCCCCCGAAGCCGGAGAGAGCAATCTAGAAGCCCCGCAATGGTTCAAACAAATCCTAAACTTGAAAGCCGCAGACGCAAACCCAAAAGCCCCAAAATTGTTTCGAGTCCCCCCACTCGTGAACTACTTGTAACGACTTGCGCTCGAGGGAATTCTCTCTGAGATAGGGTGTTGTTTGGGGTGGGATATCTGGTGCGGGTGTCGCTCTAGGTGTGCAATGCTTCTTGGGATTCTCTTCGATATTCTTCGTCCCGGCGCCGCCAGAGAGATTCTCCGCGGAACGCTGGAGTGCCCACCACCGATTATCCTGCAGAGATGCCCCCAAGAGAACCCCACAGAATCCCACAGCGCCTTGCAGGCTGGGACACACTTGAGATTCGTGGTTTTCCACCCTTCCCCCTTCTCCCCCTTCTCCCCCTTCCCCCCCTTCTCCCCCTTCTCCCCCTTCTCCCCCTTCTCCCCCTTCTCCCCCTTCTCCCCCTTCTCCCCCTTCTCCCCCCTCTCTCCCCCTTCTCCCCCTTCTTCTCCCCCTTCTCCCCCCCTTCCCCCTTCTCTCCCCCCCTTCTCCCCCCTTCTCCCCCTTCCCCCTTCTCCCCTTCCTCCCCCCTTCTCCCCCTTCTCCCCCTTCTCCACCTTTTCCCCTTCTCCCCCTTCTCCCCCTTCCTCCCCTTCTCCCCCTTCTCCCCCTCTCCCCTTCGCCCCCCTTCTCCCCCTTCTCCCCCTTCCCCCCTTCCCCACTTCCCCCTTCCCCCTTCCCCCTTTCCCCTTCCCCTTGCTCTCGCCCCCTTCGCTCTCGCTCCCTTTGCTTTCGCTCCCTTCGCTCGATCGCTCTCGCTCTCGTCGCTCTCGCTCCCGTCGCTCTTGCTCCGAAGGGGAGGAGAGGAGGGACGGGGAGAGGAGAGAACAGGGAGAGGGGGAGGGACGAAAAAGAGAATAATAGAGAATCGGATAGAGAAAGCGAGTTTGACAATTGAGATTATCGTGTGTTACCGAGGGCCGCTTTGAGAAATGCGAGAGCTGAGAGAACAACAAATTCACAAGGTAAGACAGACAACACGTACTGGCAAATACTTGCAAACTCATTTTGCATGTCGCTGCTGTTCGAGGTGGGTATCCGCGCAAAGGCGGAGGCCGCAAGCGTTTTTTCGCGTTGGTGCGCATTCAGTGCTTGAACATCTTGTGCCTGATTTCTGAGGATTACAGCGCGCAGCTGCAAGTCCAAGTCGCGGATATTGAAAATTCGAAGATCTTTGACGGTGTATTGGTATATGCCGTGCATTCTGCATGGGTGCACATCTTGGTACGAATAGTTCGTCACTGCATTTGAGGCTTGGTATTCTGGAAGAGCAGCCTGTCAGAGTCAACGGCATTGTCACGGTGCGGCAGCAGTTGTTCGCTAGTGAGTCCACATTGCCACAGTGTGCGAGAATGGAGGTCGGCTACGAGCCAGAAAGTTCTACTCCAGAGGTCCCTTTGCTTCAGGCCGGATGCTGAACCTCCCGTAGTGCTTCTTTTCCACTAGTGCTTCTTTTCCACGATGTCGTGTAGCGACGGTGCCTGAGTAATGATGCAGAGAAGGGCTGAGGTGCGCGACAAGTAGATTTAAGGCTCGAGAGTCCCTCTGTGGGGCTCAGCCCTGCATGGTGTGATGTGTGAAGGGTCCTAAGCCGAGTCATCTCTACGAGCGTGCTGTCTGGCCAAGGCAAGAGAAGGGCAGGAAATAGCGGCCAAGCAGCAATGCTGGAGCTTGCATGCTTCATCATGGCCAAGGTTTCAGAAGCGAGGTTGGTTTGGCAGGTAGCTTGCAGGTTTGTGTCGCATTGTCGCTTGCGTTGGGTGGGGTGTGTACCGTAAAAGGCGGCATGGCAAATGTGACAAGGCTTCGGTGTGTGCCCAGGAAATCTTAGTCCGCGAAATGGGAGGCCAGACCCGGAGACTTTGAACACCTGTCGGCCAAACTTGCATATCCAGCGGTGAAGTGAGAGTCGCCGAGCCTCAGCCCCATCAGGCTGGTCATACTGCCGCCGCATTGGTGACAAGACACCTGGCTGGCTGCCGGCGGACCGCATAGCCGAGCTGGCACAGCTCATCGCAGGCGCTGTCTTGCCTGCCGCGTGTTCCCGAAGCAAGCGTCTTCAATTCAACCACGTCATGAACCCTGCAGACCACGAAGTGGGTGATGCAGAAGGCAGGTGGAAGCTGTTAATAGGACTAGAAGCTGTTCGGACAAAGCATGTCCTGTGCTCTTCATGTGAGGACTGTTGAACCTCAAGCTGGGCGATGTTGTCGAGGTGCAAATGTGCTACAATGTGCGGCATCCACCCGTGATGATGTTTGGGCATCGTTGCCAGCTCGCTTCAAGCTATTGTGCATGCATAGTGCGTGGGACGGCACCCATACCACAAAAGCCAGAATAGAAGCAATGCCACACTTAACACCACAGCAGCAGCATCAATCACCACGCCTTCTCGCTTGTCTTACCCCGTGTTGCCCCAGCCTGGATACTTGATACAACTTATCAACATTGAAACCGTAATTTGAACCACAAGCGAGAGTACAAGAAGCGAGGCTGCAACAGCATTTTCTCCGGGTGGTAGTTGCGGGCGCACCATTGGTGCTTACCGACTTCCTACAACGAGGATGGCTTAGTATGTGCCGAATCGCCATGAGCAATTCCAGCAGCTCGAGCTCGTCCACCTCCAGCTCCGGCTCGAAGCAAAGTTTCCGCGGAGTGATCCGCACAGCTCGGAGCGAGTCAGGAGTGTGTCACAGCGTGTCACGGGATGTCATTCCTGCGAATTTGGCCTAGGCTCTAAAGCCAAGGCTTCAATGCAGGCTCCGATGCTGCTGCACATGCACGTTTGCTTGTGAAGAGCATGGCTCGTGATCTCATCAGTGGTCTGGAGGCTAGGATAGCTGAGAAGATGGCCCAACGAGTGGCTTTGCATCATTGTGTCACTGGCGTTTCGGAAGCTCTGGGCCTATGTATCCAATGTATGCGGACTGCCGGACTGAGGACAATGCGGAAAATGAATGGATGGGTTGGATCTGTCCTTGCGGAGGGAAAAACTTGACAATGAAAGCAAGATGTACGCTTTGTGGCCGAGTCAAGCCACTAAGCGCCCATCAGAGGCGCGGTTGGCCTGCCTTGCAGCGCAAACGCTCCAAACATGGTATTCGCATGGCATAAGCGCAAGTTGTTCTGGATGTGCAATTTGACCAGGAAAAGAAGTTTACATAGTTGAATCCTTATCTAAGACATGATGCTTGTGGCCTGCTTTGGTGGGCTCATGTTCTTGACAATCTCGTTGCAGCAGCACGTCATGTACACGGCGTTTAAGTCCTGCTATCAGAAACAGCCTGGCAGGGGCGTCGGTCAAGCAGCCGCTGCCATAGAACGAGCTCGGCTGCCGAGCAGAAGTCGCAGCAGAAACCGGCCGAAGTCAAAACGACGAAGCCAAAGCCATCCAAACCACCGTAGCCGTTCCTCGGCCCTCTTTCACAGCAGTGCAAATGACAGTTTGATGACGCAGCCTACTTAAAACCCGCATGTCCCTCCTGCACAGAGACTGGTAGGAAGCCTTCAGCAGTAGAAGCGCATTCGTAACCAGGAAATCGTTCATCGAGCAGCAGCTCATCTTCTGGCGATCCCACCGCCAAAGACAGGCATCTTGGTTGTTTGTTCAAAGCAGTGGCCCTTCAAGCATTTGGTTTGGCGTAGTTTGGCGTGGCACGTCGGATGGCATGTATCATTCTACAGCATGCACCGTTGCGTTATGAACATCTGTCTCCGCTGCAAGTTATTTGGGCTCCAGACCTACTTCGGCAAGGGTTGAAGTTCAGGGGTTCTTTTGGCTTCTTTCGTGCAGGCCCCGAACAGGCGACACCTTTCCCAAATCATCGACTTGGTATGTCAACACATGCACTCTCTTCCATCAGGGCGGTGTCCCATAGAGGGCGCTTAGCCTTAGTTTTCGCAAATGCTTTGAGCAATGTGGGTTTTTGGCACGGCATAAGGCCACACGGCCTTTTGCCTACTTCGTGGAGCATGCTCGCTCCTGTGTGATCAGTGGGCTTCTTTGTCTCTTTGCGATTTCGGGATGGGCGACAGAAACGACCCGGTCAGGGACCTTGTCTTCAACAGGAACCTGTCGGAGAACCGCTTGTTTCGACAGGATTCTGTCTCTTGAAGACAAGTGGCCCCGCTAGTGCCCCGAGTGCGTGGGTCAGGTTTTCCATATGAAGTTGTGAGGGAACGATCTCTTTCAGCTTCCATCGCATGGGAGCAGCTCTGGTTGGTTTGGGGTTGGCTTTGAGATCCTTGAAGCTATCTTACAGAGCATCGCAGGGTTGGCTGTTGGATTGGGATGGCGCGGTTGCTGCTGTGCTTTGCGGCGCAGGGACCTTCTCTTGTCGCATTCCGACAAATCTACGACTGAGGAGGAGCCATCAGTGCGCGCGCGCAACGGGGTGGCGCTGACAGAGACAATCTGCCACTGGTTGCTGCTGAAAACGTCCTGGCCAGCCTTCCCACAGAGGTTGAGAACGGGCGAGTGCGTAGGTCCTGCTTCCGGGCTCACGTAGGCATGCAGGTCGCTCGTTCCGTTCTCTTGGCACAGGCCAAGCTTGTGGTGTGGTTTGGGAGACCGACGAAAGTTCGCTCCGGACCGCCTTGCAAACTTGCAGCGGCCGAGACCCCAAGCAAGTAAGATTGTGTTTTTGCATGATCGCGTGCAAAATCTCGGCGACCGAGCAAGGCTCTTGGAGGATACTGTACATGGTATTTAGCGGCACAACACCCTAAGCCGAAATCTTACAGCCTAAGCTTTGCAATTGTCCTGACTTGCTAGTCCTGTATGTGGCGTAGGTCGTCTTTGGTCTGGATAGGATGATGGGGTTGACTTTGGGTTCGGGTGTCGTCTGATGTCAAGGTGACCTCACATGCAGCAATGTCGTTTTTCCAGACTCCGGACGTGCTGCGTTTTGCATCCTTGCGGTGTTGTGTGAAGCTGCTAGGCTGCTGGCAAATAAACCTTACAGTGTGTTGTTAGAAACATTCAGATTGACACATGTCAGGCAAGGAGAAGTGACAGATGCCAAGCGCGAAGCTATGCAGCAAGTCGGTTGCAGCTAACCGATAGCGGAAATTCTTCCGGCAGCCTGCTGTAGGTTGTTACATGTTGTGGCTTGGCTGCAGGCATCTGCAGGACATCAAAGAGATGACAGATGGACAGGAGCACCTTTGGCCCGGCAAACTTGCCATAGCCTGCAAGCCTCCTTGTCGGGCGCGCCTTGCTATGGCATTCACACGAGTGCTTAGCTAACTGCTAACGACTATGTGTTCTGAGAGTTCCTTATCGCGAGAAAGAAATCCAGGAGAAGCAAAAAGCTTTTCGCAAGTTACTGCGCGAATGGCATCCGGATAAGAACCCGGAGAGGGTTACTTTGCTGCCCCTACTTGCTACTGTAGGTGTTCCGTTCTGCATGGGTTGTGCACAGGTCAAAATGGCGACCGAAGTGTTCCAATTTCTGCAAAAAGCCGCGAAGTTGTTCAAATGCTGAGGGCGCAGCCCTCGGTGTGGCCGACCTCCAGGTGCCGCTCAGTCCCGAGACTTTCTCAAAAAAATTTGGCGTTCCGTCAGCTTAGGCACCGGCTGCACAGCTGCTGTGGTTGAAGCCGAAAATGTGAGCGCACCAGCTTCACGTCAGTCGACAGTAAGACGAGGCGGAGAGTCCCATCGTGTGGAATGATTGCAAATCTCAGCTAGTTTCAGGAGTCTTGGTGTTGAGTAGCCTCCGCCCGTTGTTTCACAGCGACGCATCAAAGAACGCAGTGCAGAAACCAAAAGCGCCACTTTTCCTGGGCCTGAGATGGCTTAGATGTGCTGCCGATGGTTTGCTGGAAATTGGAGAAGCCGTGGTTTGCACAGGTCGTCAGTCGGCATTACAGTGGCTGGGCACAGTGCCGCTTGTGGACTGGCCTTTCCCCCAGATTCGAGAGCTGAAAAGTCACCCAAGCCTGGCTTCACTTGCTGAAGGTTGTGGGCCTTGCAGGCTATTCGGCAATAGGTGAGCGTAGAATGGTCGATGCCGCAAGGTAGAAAGGCAGATAGGCCCGGACAGACATAACAAACATGCGCCAGTGACCAGTTGCAAGCAGTCAGGCTACCAAGTAAGCTGCCGAATGCTGCCGACTTGCGAAGGAATGCGAGTCCGGCCATAAGACGGGGATTTCTTTCCACTTGTTCGTGCGGCCACTGTCAGGTCCGCAGCTTCCTGGATCCGTCAACGACAGGTGCATGTTGATGTTCATATCTGGTCAGGCTTGAAAAGAATTCTTCCACATTCCTGTCGGTGAAGGCAGATCGGCTGGGTGACCGATGCGTATCTGCAAGACAATCGTTCCGAAGCAATGCTTGCGTGACACCCCCAGTCCTGCCTGCTGTGCTATCTTGGCGTGTGGTCGTAATTCCGGTGCGCATGTTGTTGTGCTCAGTTGTCGTCGGTTGTCGGTTGTTGTCCGTGGTTGTCCCTTGTTGATTGTCGGTTGTTTTCGTCGCTTGTCGGATGTCTCTTGTCGCTTGTCGCTTGTCGCTTGTCGCTTGTTGTCGTTTGCCGGTTGTCGGTTGTCGCTTATCGGTTGTTGTCGGTTGTCGCTTATCGGTTGTCGTCGGTTGTCGGTTATCGGTCGTCGTCGGCTGTCGGTTATTGATTGGTTGTCGGTTGTTGTCGGTTGTCGTCGGTTGTCGTCGGTTGTCGCTAATTACCGCTAATTAGCCGTCGGTTGTCGTCGGTAGGCGGTTGTCGAGTGGCGGTTGGCCATTTGCCGTTGTCTGCGGTTGTCGGCGGGGCGGTTGTCGGAGGTTGCCATCGGTTGTTGTCGGTTGTCGCGGGTTGATGGGTCGTCGGCAGTTGTTGTCGGTTGTTGTCGGTTGTCGGCGGTTGTCGGTGGTTTAAGGTTGTCGTCGGGTTTCTTGGGTTGACGTCGGTTGTCGTTGGTGGTCGTCGGTGGTTGCTGGTTGTTCGTTGTTGCTTGTTTGCCGTTGGCTGTTGCTCGTGCTCGCTTGATGAGGGTGTTGGCATTGTTGTGTTGGTGATCTTTGTGTAGCTCTTGTCGTCGTTGTGGTTGTTGTTGTCTGGGGTCAGGGCATTTTAGAGTGGTTTTGCTCGAGCAGGCTACCGGCTTAACGAGACCCTCAGTCAGAATGCCGCATACGAACTACCTTTCAAGCGGATGGGTTTGCTGAGCTGTTATGTTCCTCCCTTTGTGGGAATATGCTTACAATACCCTACAATGCATTTGTGGCTGTTGGTTCGGTTCGCAGTTTACTATGCAGCACCTGCAATGTGTACTGTGTTGTTGCAACGCCGATAGCTTCAAGCTTTTATTCGGCAGGTTCACTGCATCCATGAGTTTCCGGCATCAAAAAACGCTGTGCGTTTGTGGCATGGGCATGCCAAGGTCCAAGTGGCACCGGCTTGTGTTGCAAGCGCTGGAGGAGGTGGCCATGAGATGTGTGAGAAATTAATGTGCTAATAATCGGACGGTACTATTCCGATGGCCGGTAAATGAAACGCAATCACCCCCTACCCCCCGGTACTTTGTATTGGGTCGCATTTTTGCAAGATATCCGTGCTGTGCAACAGGAAAAGGCTGATGATAGGTGCATGGTTGCGTGCTTTCTGGAGGGTTGGGGGGGCCGCTTCTTGCAGTTGCCTTCCGGCACAATTGCTCGTTTAACATAATGCTGCCTGAGGCGCATGTCGCCGTTTCCCGCCTGCTTTCTTGGTGGCTGTGCTGCTCTAGCCTGCTGTCCCGGTTGCTTTCCTGTAGCTCGCCTGCTGTCCTGGGCTATACGCCCCGCCCTTTGCCTGGTAAGTTGCTCTCGGCTCGCCTGCGAGTTGAGCACCCGCATGTTGTAAATAGTTTTCGGGCACGTAGAGAATGATAAGTGCAGCTAGAATCTTTTTAGCCTTAAGTTGCCAGAGGCTTGCATAGGTGTACAGTATACTGGATACTCCTCATAAGTATACTGGATACTCCTCATAAGCCCGGGATTTTGGCGCTGTCTCGACTGTTGCTCAAGCCGGGCAGGTTGTGGCATATGCTGTGCAACTGGAGACCTACCTGGCACAGGCATTGGATCCTTAAGCCCTGTTTTTAGTAAAGCGTGTCTCCCACCCTCCCTCCTCGTCACATGTTCTGGGTATCGGTGCGTTGCCATCGTTGCCCAAACGACTCGGAAACTGGGCCTTAAACTCCAATCCCAATCCCCTGCCTTGTGGTTTGAGGCTGTGGGTATAGATCAGGCTCGAGGCTTGTGGAGTGAGTGCGGACTTCTCGCGGACGGGCATGGAAACAGATCATCGCATCATTCGTGCTTTCAGGCATGAATAAAGAATTTCGATTTAAAGTCGTTCCTGCTATTATCTTCGCCAAGGGCAACCTTTCAGCGCCAAACCCTTTCCTCTGGAGTGCTGCCAAACCGAAGACGACATGCCGTACTGCCAGGCCAGTAAGCAAAAAGAGCAGAAGGAACACCATGCTTCCTGCAGTGCATGAAACGAACACACTGCTGCTTCTCCACGCCGAGATGGTCCAGAAGAAGTCAAGCCGGAAATGCAGTTGCACAACTCATCTGCAAGTACCAGCACATAGATAAAGCCTTTTGTGCCACACATAGAAGAAGCGGTCCTGGCATGCCTATCAGTCCTAGTCAACAAACATTCTTTCAGGCACCGATACCTGGATATGACAGTCTCTCTCTTCTGTTTTTTTTGCTCTCGCTCTTTCTCTCTCTTCATGCTTTTTTTAAAATATCTCTCTCTCTCTCTCCCTCCCTCCCTCATTCTTCACTCTCACACTCACGCTCACTCTCCATCCAATTGCAGCTCATTACAGTGACAGCTCATGTGACACTCGCGAACGCTCCGCGGACGCAGAGCGGACGCAGATGCACGATTTTTGGTTACCTCCTGCACCTGGAACCCCAGTTCAAAGAAGGGGAACGCTTCTGGGAAACATGTGCCTAACAATTTTCACCCGTTGTTTAGCTAAGCTCGTGACGGGAAGATTCATGAAGTTTGAAAGTTAACTCATGTGCAGGCCAAGCCAGAAGATCGTAGTGCTGATCCCGAGTGGATGGAAAAGTGCATGCAGTTTTGTGCCTTGGCTCAAATTGCAGGCAGGGGTGGAAGGAGACCCCGCGAAACGACCTAAGTCAGGAAGTGTGGAACCTTGGGAGTTTTGATGTTCTTGTCGAGCTGCTAGGTTGGTTGTGGCCTTCATGGCGTTTTTGTGATTCTTCATTGTGCCAGCTAAAGTTTGCGTTTGAATGATGAGAGTATTGAGAGTAGTTCTTGAGTAGAGTCCTGCAAGCGCTCAGACAAGAGCTTTGAGGGTTGGAAAAAGAGACAAAACAGTCTTAGGCCGCCTGAGGAAGCCAAAGGATTTTCGGGTGCTCGGTAGGTAAAACGCGTCCTCGGACGGTCTTGCAGGGTCCGAGTGTCAGGGAGATCCGTGAAGGTCTCGGTTGCAGGAACCTGAGACACTACCAAGGCTCCTTACTTTTTCGGGTTCTTAACTAACCGTAACTAACCAGTCCATGCAAGCATTGTGTCGGCTTTGTTGTCGAAGCTGTTTCGTTAAGCTGTTCCGTTGATGATGAGTCGGGGGTCTTGTGGAAAGTGCCTGCTGCTTGTTCTTTGCCCAGGTTTGTATCTCGGAACCGAGTTGCAGCAGATCACTGACGCACTGCAGTTGGCTTGGGTGTCTTGCAACAGCCACCGATTTGACAGAATTGTTTCAGAATGACGGGTGAATACGAGGTCGCAGCACGGTCTCTCGCAGAACGCTGCGGGCAAGTATGCAGTTGCTGCCTGTGAGGCACCGAGGGTCCCTGTTAAAGAGCACATCGGAGCACATCGGAAATCATTGGAGCGCTGCCCGGGGTGAGAAAATCGTAGCCTGGGGCTGGCCCTAAGCCCGCGCGTTGAGAGGTTGTTGGCAGCAGCGAGCACGAGCTCAGCGTGGCCCAGGGCGCACGCGTGCTTGTCGTCGATGCTGTCGCTGCCTTACGCCAGTGGCAGTTGTGTTTTGTTGCCTGCATGTACACCGACAATCACGTGCATTAGTGCTGCCAACGTTTGGCAGCTAGCAAGCCCGAATTAAGCTGCAGGACAACGCAGACTGGATTTGGTGCAAAGCCGAGGTGCTCTACATATCTTTGCACATCTTTGCCACTGGATGTATTATGATGTATCCTTAGTTTGCCTCATGCCCGGAGACTGCCAGGATGGTCTTTCTGAAGGTTGGGTGCCGCGATCCTTCCTGGAAATGGAGCCTGGCCGAGCTCTCAGTCCAGAAGCTGCCACTGAAACAAAAACATACAAAAACATGACTGGTCGACTTGCATCTCCTTGAGGCAGCACAGCCGACACCGGCAAGGATCTTGCACTCATCATGCTCGAGCGAGGTTTGTAGTTGGGCAAAGGCCTGTGTGGTTTGCACAGAATTGCAGGACTTGCCAGGTTGGATCAAGGCAGCAAGCCAAGACCCACGTGCTTTGTGCTCAAAACGGTCTGGATATGCCTTGGACCCCCTTCCCAGGTCAATGAGCGTGCAAGGCACCAGCTCATGCAGCGTGGGGCTTGTTGGGCTGCGTCGGTTTTCGTGCAGGTGGTGGTCCAACTCGCAGAAGCAATTCTGCGATGTGACGATCACCCTCGTGGACGAGTCTGCTAGACAGGTCACTGTGGCTCAGCAGCATTTGAACCAGATGGGATTGCACATCGTGCATGTGCAGACCTTGGGTCGCTTTTGTCTGGCTGTGCCCTTGCAGCGTTCACTTTGGGCGAGGTCATGGTAGGTCCTGGTAGGTGTGAGGTATGACAGGACATCCGCTGCCGTAGGATCAGTGTAGCTTTGCAGGGGGCAAAAATGAGATCGTACATATACAATGGTGAGGTCCGTGAAAAATTCCAAGCGAAAGTAGAAGACACCGTGGTGGGGTAGCCGAGACGTCCAGGACCTTGACACCGGGTGCAGCGGCGAAGCTCTGTGACCGCTCGCACAGGTTGCCAGTGACGAAGTGGGCAGTGCCTTTTGTTACCAGCCGGAAGTGTTCGCCATCAGATTGCATCCCCGATACACTGAGTCAGGTTTGGAGGCCGACCTCTCGGAGCGTCCTACTCGGAGCGTCCTACGCGTAGGCACGACACTGGCGAAACTCATCCACGCACTGCGCTCACATAGCGGCGGTGCTCACATAGTGGCGCGCAGTATGTTCGGCCGCCTCCTTTGGACGGATAGATCGTCTGCCCATCCATCGGGCCCGATCCACGTCGTCCACTAATGCAGGCGGTGACATTCGAGCACCACCCAGTCAGCGATGTCCTGCGTGTTGTGTCGAAGGTGCGTTGCTAACCACGAGCCCCCATAAGACATCATGCCGCATGTGCGGCGTCAAGCCACTGACCCGTGGCCTCCCTTGCGCTAGGTTGTCCTTGGCAAAGCAGCCGATCCTTGATTGGGAGGTTTTCAATCCCTCGAATGATCTGTTGCTTCGGCGCCGCATCCTTGACGTCGCGTGACATCTCCTGCGTCGGTCCTTCCTCGGCCTCTGGGCCCTCTTGGCCCTGCTGCTGGCCTGGCACAGCGCCTTCCCTTCGTCGTGGCTTTCCATTGACCATCAGAATCGGACTAGAATCGCGATCCCTGCGGGTGTCTCTCTCTTCCCTCCTCGCTCCTTTTCTTCCGATCAACCCTCCGTTTGCAACCAGCACGAATCACAGGCCTCCATCAGGTCGCGGATCACGGTGCTCGACTTGGTTCCTGCACGGAATTTAGACACCAGCTCTGCTCGCTCCCCAGCGTCCAGCGCCTGCAGCCACTCCGTTTACTGGCAGCGTCATCACGGCGGCCTGCCGCGCCCTGCAGAAGGACCCCAACACCATGAAACCTCCGCGAAGTCCACGGAGTTGGCGCCCAGCGTGTTCTCTGCTTTGGGGAATGACGTGATACACTGAGCCCATCAGAAGCATATGGATCAGCCTAGAGCCTCGACACATCCTAGGCCACAAACCCTAAACCCTTTTGAGCAACGAGGGGACTTTGAATCGCACGGGAAGTAAGAAAATAGATTTGAGCACGCCCTGAACCCCCTTGGCACGTGGATCTATAGAGTTTTAGGTGAAGTTCAAATCTGGGGGGGTTTTGGAGCGTGGAAGACTTGTCTCTTAAAGCCTTCTGGGTTCTTTGACATGGCAAGTGCTGAGAAGTTGTATATGGGTTGTGGAGTTCTGGGGGTTTGGTGAAGTCTTGCGTTTGTTTTGGGAGGTTTTGTGTTTTTGTTGAGATCTTGGGTCTTTTGAGATTGGAATCGATGCTTTATGGGCAAAGTGGGGGCTTTGGAGGGCACTTGGGGCCTTGGAGGCATTTTGGTTCTTTGTAGGATTATTGTTGTAGCTCATTGAAATTGCAAGTTTCAATGAACACACATACATGTTTTGTCTGTCCTGGCCTGGTTTAGGGTTGGGGGGGATAGATACTCGCACATTTGCTTATTGTTTGCTCTTGCGCTTGGCAGCTTCGATCGCCAGCCAAGGTCACCTTTGTTCAGGCAAGGGCTGGTGGCAATACTGGTTTGTTTGTCCTGCCCACGGCTTCGGCCAATGTCTTTCTTGGTCTACCTCGCTGATAGCCTGGTGCCTCTCTGCAGGATGCAGCTTGTTGGAAGATGGTGCCGTTTGAGCACTTCCTTCAAAAACAGGCATGTTGCGGTGTGGCTGCACATGGCTGCCTGCTAGCTCAGCTATTTCACACGCTGCTTTCGTAGGAGGACTGGCTGCTACAGCCCTTCCAGCAGAAGGCATGGAGTTACGGAACTCCGATCCCTGCGGGGTTGGCAAGTGTTTGCATGTTGTGCTGGCAGTCAAATCGTCGCATTGTAAACTGGCAGGCGAAGGAGTTGATGCAACAGTTGCCAGATTGGGTACAGCCAGGCAAACAGGCCCGGCCCGTCTGCCACCGCGAATACACATGACCACGGAGGATCCTCAAGTTCAAAAACTCGGCGAGCTGAGGCATATTGGTGGTCTTCAAGCCAACACCGTGTACTGCCGGTTCAGATCAAAGATGTCTGCTCCAGGACGCGCCAGGTCAGAGCCCAGGTTTTGCAAAAACCGTTTGCAAGCAGCGGGAAAGCACCTGCAATCCAGGTGAAGGTGGTTTTCAATTGCAACAAAACAGCAGCTTGGATAATCCAACCTCAGCATGAGATCTGTGCCAATCTGCGGTGCCCAGTTGGAGCCAGTCCAGCTCAGGTGAAGAAGCTCGTGCAATTCCACGTGTCTTGCTTGATGGATGGCAGTCATGTGTTAGATGCTGACGAGTTGTCCAGACATCTGTGGAGTCCCGTTGCATCCTGAGGAGCTGATTGATTCTCCTAAAGAATGTCCACGGCTCACGATGCACGAGCAGTTTTCGCATGAAGTAGCACAAGAGATGTTGAGAGAAAAAGCTTTGAGGCCTTCTCCAGAAGGAGAGGTCAGGACATACCTGGAGGAAACCCCGACGAAAGTCGAGGGACTCGAAAGGTTCTAAAGAATCAGCGGAGGCTGCAGTGTATTCTTGTGAAATCTTGTGTCCTTCAAAGTGCTCTGTGTGCGATGCCTCACGCAATCACAATCAATCACCCATTCCGAAGGCCGGAAGCCAAACAGAAGTTGCTGAAGATCTCGGTCCATGACACAGTGACACAGTGCAAAACAAACATGCGGGAGGACTGTTTAGGTCCTGTAGCGGTATGCTGCTTGCACTGCTTAAGCACAAGCTGCAGAGGCCCCCTAAACTCCATTTCAGGGAATGCCTCAATTTGCACGAGAATCCATATGGGTAAGTTGAGAAAGCGATTTTTTTGATAGTTCGCTATCAGGTGCCACAAAGGGCTTGGGAGACATCATGGCAGAAATGACGCAGGACGGGATGTCTTGGACGCTTAAGCATGCCATAACATGGAAGTTGTTCTTGAACCCCTTTCTTCTTGAGGCTCCATTGCAGGAGGGCCTATATTTTCGGGCACCATCTTGCCCAGTCTGCGTAAGCTGCGGAAGTTCGAGCGGAAGCCATTTGAGTGACCCCAGGGGGGCCTCATGTTGGTAAGCAGAAGTTGCATCAGGGCTATGCGTAAGAAAGCAGCTGTGGAAGTTAGGGGGGAAGGCCCGCATCATAATCATCCAATTTAGAACTATCCCCATGTGGCATTCATAGTCGTCATTGCAACAATAACTGCTCACTGCTGCTGTGGTGAGGAGTTCTTGCGGTCTTGCCTGCCAATGCAGCAGACTTCCTTGAATGCTAGGGCACAAGATCTGATCATGCCGCACTCTGGCTCGAGGGCAATGCGTCGGCCGCAGAAGCCGGCCGACAGGCTGCTAACGCGGCTTCCGTATGTCCAAGTTTCTGCTGTACGTCATCATAGTGCGAGGCTTTGGGCTCCACGTACTAGACGTGGGGCCGCCACGAACTGGAACACAGTCCATCGCCGATGCCCTCACAACGCTTGGCTTGAACGTGCTCCACTCCGGCTTCGTGCAATCCTCCCGCCCTGTAGCTTGCCGTCACTTGTATGGAAACGGGACCAACGAGAGCATGACAGAACTTTTCGAGGGCTATGATGCTGCGGCGGATGAGCCCTTGTTTTTGGAGTACGAGTTCGTTAGAGACACGTATCCCAATTCCAAGTTTGTGCTACCTCTGGTCCCAATGGAGAAGTGGTGGAACTCAACGAAACACTACTGGAATTCAATGTATTTTCGATACGAGCGCAATAAGATACGCGGCCTGAAAGTGAAGCGCGAGCAACAGGAGCTCGAAGCTTGGCTTGATGGGTTCTGGACTGGCCATTTCGGGGCAACTTTTGAGAATGACAAGTGCGTCGCTGTTCGCTATTGGGGCTGTCGTTTTGACAGGCTCGAGGGAATGAGTGACGATGAGAAGCGGAATTGCCAGAGCGGGTACGAAGCTCATGTGGCACATGTAAAGCAAGCCATTCCGCCTGAGAGGCTGCTGGTTTTTAATTTAAGTGATGGCTGGCGACCGCTTTGTCAGTTTCTGGGGAAGCCTATTCCGAATGAGCCATTTCCCCATGATGATTTTATTGGAATCTACGATGAACAAGCCGAGCTTAATGAGGCCGGAACCACCCTGTTGCAAGTTGATGTAGAGACCACCTGGACAGAAGAGCTGTAGCGCGCGGGGGGAAGGCCGACTTTTCTCATAGAAAGTCAGAAAAGGACTGCAGCGCTTTCGCTTGTGTCATTGGCGAGATTTTCTGAGCCATTCAACATTGATGCATGGCATGTTGCAGTCCTCAACAGTTATGGTCGTACTCTGTCCGATATTGCAGTGCAGTCTCTTTAAACTAGCATAGGCCGAGCATGCAAAAATTCTTGTCTTTACTCTATGTTTATTGCAATTATTATTACTGCTATTTCTGGTACGAGCGATCGACCATTGAATCTTACTGCCCAAAACCTCCAGAAAAAATCTCAAAAAAGCTAATGAAAAGAATTGAATAAACAGGCAAAAGGAATTAATATGAAGAGAACACAATATAATCAAAAAGTAATGTGCGAACTCACTTAATATTGTTAGTATCTTGACATTTTTTATTTCACGAATTAAGAAGAAATGGCTAATAGCGCCAATAGAACTATAAGTGTCCATTAAATATTGTAGGTGCCTTTCTAGCTATGCATTTCAATAATATACATATGGGCTCGTCGCATGTCGGCAGGATATTGGCGACATAATGGCTGAGGGCGATGAATCAGAGGACGCTATGGCTTGATCATTCATGGGCAGTCGCTGACTCCACGTGGTGTGGTTTTCGAGACCTTTAGTGTATCTTTAGCTTCTGGCGTTAAATTTCACAGGTCTGCTCCTTAGGACACCACCTTCTTCCCAGGATGAAGGCGAAGTTGTCTGACATTTTCAGCTAACTGACAGCCAGGATGGCGGCGGTGGCCTCCGCAAGGCTTTGACTTTCATGGGAAGCTCCGAGTTCTTACAGGCAAGCCATGCCAGCCGCATGCAGTCACAAAACATCCACAACGCAGCATGGGCTCTGATGCAGGTTGACGTCAACTCCAAAGATGATTCAGCTGACAGGGCCACCGCTGCGCTGTTGTATCTGTAGCTTTCAGTCCTTCGGAAAGGCAGACCTAGGCAGCAAGTGAGAAGCATCTTGGAGCAGGTGCCAGCCTTTGGCTACGATGATGAGCTCGCCACAACAGCTGGGAAGGACGGAACGGATGAGCCAGGGGCACTCGAAGAACGAGAAATGTAAGGGTTCCAGGATGCGCCAGGGGTCTGGAAAGTCACGGGAGTAGTGATGGGGGCTCCTGGGAATGCAAAGAACCGAGGCCACCTGTATTTTACGGGCCACCACTGGCCACCATCGCTCGGAGTATAGTATAGTCACTATGTCTGACTCTGTGTTAAGCTTGGCGTGCAGGACGATGGTGCCGCCAAGGCCCGGAGAACCCGATGCTTTCGCATCTGCTCTCGTGGATAGAAGTGCCTCCAGGAAGAGACCGGCGAGCATTTGCAGCCCAGTGGAATTGTGCAGGCAAGCGAGGCAGCGAGCAAGGGAGAGAGAGCGGGTTGGTGCGTACCACGTCTTCGAACCTACGAACTACGCTAGAGTTTCGGAGCTGCGATAGACTTAGTCTTGGGACCTGCTTTTGGGGTTTAGGTCCGTAGTTCTGCGTTACTACTTCTGCTCGGCTGAAGTGGGTAATAAAGTCATTGATATCCTGGGGCAGCCACGAGTGCTACGTGCAGGGTTGTGTTTCCTGAGACGTCAAGTGTCAACTTACCCGGCTGACTGGTTGCAAAAGTTCTGCGTTTCGGCAGCTGGCACATCTGGTATGCATGAGCACAGGCTTGCAGTGTACCTGGAATCTCAGTTGCCTTTTGAGCACTCGTGGCCGGAGCCAAAGTGGCTGTTCCTCCCTATCCCTCTCTCTCTATTCCTCTCCCTCCTCCCTCCTCCCTCCTCCCTCCCCCCTCCCTCTCTCTCTCTCTCTGGCTCTCGCTCTCCCTCTCCCTCTCCCTCTCCCTCTCCCGCTCCCGCTCTCGATCTCTCGATCTCTCGATCTCTCGATCTCTCTCTCTCTCTCTCTCCCTCTCTCTCGCTCTGTTTCTCCCTCTCGCTCGACCCTCGGTGCACAGCAAAAGTGCTCGCGCGTGCTTTTTTTGCAATGCACAGCACCAACACGTGCTTGTGCGTGCCCGTGTCCTCAACTTCGGAAGGGAGAGAAGGCGACAGAGACAGGCAAACACCTCCAATGCAACACCAAACCTCCCATAACCCCTTCGTCGCACGCCACAAACCTCGAAACTCTCAAATCTACACTGCGCCCTGCCTGGTGAAGCACGCAAACCCGTCCGCGCGCCACGTGGGCTCAGCCACAGCAGCACCCCCTTGACAGGAAGGCCTGAGAGTACAACCGCCCGCACCGCCCACGCACCTATTTGCAGCTGCCCTTGCCCTGACTGCGGTGAGATCGGTCGATCCCAGGAGGGAGCACCACGCCTACAAGGTCGTGAGTTGGCAGTTGGCAGGGAGCCCGTCCGACGGGACACAAACGGAAAGCAGCCAGGAACACTCAGCCTCAACGAGCACATAGGTCTCAGAAGCTAGCGTTGGTGGCCGGTGCAGGGAGGACAGGAACAACGGCATGTCGGAAAGAGTTGATCCACTTTGCCATTCATGAGGAGGAGGAGGAGGAGGAGCCACTTCATACAAGAATCTGGCATTTTTGACAAACATGGCATGGGCATAATTTTGGTCAGCAAGGCCGACATATTCGTGCACTTGCTTTGAGGGCAACGCCGCCACCATTCATCGATATCAAAGGAGGGCACGCAACTCGCAGCAACAACGCGAAGGAACTACCTTGTTTGCGTTGGGTCGAGGGCTCGGACTTTAGACTATTCTGCCAATGCCACTGTCTGTCAGGCGGGCACGGAAATCGGTGATGCCATTGGTCAAGAGGATGTGCAGCAGGCCGTGGGACATGCAACTGCAAGGGTCGACTGCCTCCGTTGGTTTAACCAGGCGGGGCTCCAGCAGCACAGCGTGGTGTCCAAGGGCAACTCGGCACCAGTTGCCGTGTACCGACTTCTTTCCAAGCTGCAATTGAATCAAGGCAAACCCGCCGCAGTGATGGGGTTCTCTCAGTCAGAGGAAAACATGATGGAGCTTCTGGAGGCCGAATTAAAACCGCGCATGAGTTGTGTCAGATCGTGGTGGCACCTTTCAGGCCACTGAGGCCCTTGAGGCCATTGAGGCCACCGTCGGCGACCCGAAAGGAATCGTTACCCAGGCCGCTGGGCTGTTATTGGCCATGGTGTGCCTGGCTTCAATTTCTGTTTCTCCTCCTCTGCCAGGAAGGTCCTGTGCAAGGGGGCGAGACGCAAGAGCTGTACGACACCTTAGACAAGGAGTGCGTCAGTGATGTGGCGTGTTGTGAAGGCTCATGCTGCTGGCAGCTTGTATAGGAGTTGCTTGCGGAGTTGGCGCCCCCTTCGTCCGATGAGCCCTCCGCAGAAGGTGCTGAGCCTGAGGCAAGGATCATCAAGTATCTTTGGGAATCCATGTGCACGCTTTGGGTGGCTGTGTGGCTTTTCTCGCCGCACAGGATGCTGGCAGCGCAGCCGCAGTATCTGGCTTCATTCTTACCGAAGCAAGACACCAGAAATGGCCCCAAAGGTTGAACATGGTTGATCTCTTTCGCCTTGTCGTGGTATGACTCGTATGACTCCTTTGCGCAGTTTGCAGCTGCAGGCCTCACTTTGGATGCGGAGCCGGCGCAGCCGGCGCAGCCGGCGCAGACTCAAGGACGGGGTGACGAGCAGGCGTTGGGCCCCGCATTGCCCACATGGCATGGCACGGTGTTGGTGTCAGTATGGACGTTTGATGGACGTTTGCCGATGTCCCTGGCTGTTGACAGGCTGCAGATCCCGATAGTGGGGTACAGGCCACAGGCCATACACTCCGGTCGCTGATGAGGGTGTGGTACCCGATTAATCTGCAAAGCTTGCAAGGGAGCGATCCTGCGGTACCTGGTGAACCTGGAGATGCCGCTGCAACTCCAGTATCGAAGCCGCATATGGCAATCTCATGTCGCTACTTGCGCACGAACATGCATGTTGCACGCCTGTTTGCTCAGATACGTGTCCTAGATTTTAAACCAGTATTCGCCAGTTATGTACAGGCCCCTGGACCACTAACGTCTGCAGAAGGGGCTGCCGAGGCACAACATGGCACGGCCCGATGTTTGCACGAATGTGAACGAACATGAACATGAGTGCTGGTTATGCGGCCTCTTCCTGGGGCAGAGCCGCCCGCAATACCAAGCTGTCCAAGCTGCAGGTCTGTGCACATGCAGAAGCGGCAGGCGCGACACAGGAGCCAAGCTCACCAGGCTAACAACTGAGACCGCTGTTGAGGGCGCTCCAAGTCATACCCGAAAGAGCAGAGTTCTAGGAGAATATTCTGGAGCACGAGGAGGCCAACCCGTTGCCAATAGAAGACGTGCTGGCCGTGTGATGTTTGGATGAGCGTGATGCAGCAACCGAGCAAGCGGGTCAAGAGGGTCGCCTATCTCCAGGCCACCGTCGGCGACCCGAAAGGAATCGTTACCCAGGCCGTTGGGCTGTTATTGGCCATGGTGTGCCTGGCTTCAATTTCCGTTTCTCCTCCTCTGCCAGGAAGGTCCTGTGCAAGGGGGCGAGACGCAAGAGCTGTACGACACCTTAGACAAGGAGTGCGTCAGTGATGTGGCGTGTTGTGAAGGCTCATGCTGCTGGCAGCTTGTATAGGAGTTGCTTGCGGAGTTGGCGCCCCCTTCGTCCGATGAGCCCTCCGCAGAAGGTGCTGAGCCTGAGGCAAGGATCATCAAGTATCTTTGGGAATCCATGTGCACGCTTTGGGTGGCTGTGTGGCTTTTCTCGCCGCACAGGATGCTGGCAGCGCAGCCGCAGTATCTGGCTTCATTCTTACCGAAGCAAGACACCAGAAATGGCCCCAAAGGTTGAACATGGTTGATCTCTTTCGCCTTGTCGTGGTATGACTCGTATGACTCCTTTGCGCAGTTTGCAGCTGCAGGCCTCACTTTGGATGCGGAGCCGGCGCAGCCGGCGCAGCCGGCGCAGACTCAAGGACGGGGTGACGAGCAGGCGTTGGGCCCCGCATTGCCCGCATGGCATGGCACGGTGTTGGTGTCAGTATGGACGTTTGATGGACGTTTGCCGATGTCCCTGGCTGTTGACAGGCTGCAGATCCCGATAGTGGGGTACAGGCCACAGGCCATACACTCCGGTCGCTGATGAGGGTGTGGTACCCGATTAATCTGCAAAGCTTGCAAGGGAGCGATCCTGCGGTACCTGGTGAACCTGGAGATGCCGCTGCAACTCCAGTATCGAAGCCGCATATGGCAATCTCATGTCGCTACTTGCGCACGAACATGCATGTTGCACGCCTGTTTGCTCAGATACGTGTCCTAGATTTTAAACCAGTATTCGCCAGTTATGTACAGGCCCCTGGACCACTAACGTCTGCAGAAGGGGCTGCCGAGGCACAACATGGCACGGCCCGATGTTTGCACGAATGTGAACGAACATGAACATGAGTGCTGGTTATGCGGCCTCTTCCTGGGGCAGAGCCGCCCGCAATACCAAGCTGTCCAAGCTGCAGGTCTGTGCACATGCAGAAGCGGCAGGCGCGACACAGGAGCCAAGCTCACCAGGCCAGCAACTGAGACCGCTGTTGAGGGCGCTCCAAGTCATATCCAACGAACACATTTGCACTGAGGCGGAGCAGCCACTGTCGGGCCGACAGATCCAACGGTAGTATTGGCCGCATCTGCGGAAGCTCTCGGCCGCCTCCCAAGCTTTTCCAGGGCTAATGTGTCCAAAACCGTTCGGTTTCTCTGCATAGCTTCTCATGCCATACGTAAAATCAGTAAAATTGTGCATAGTTAACCTTTAGCAAACGCATTTTTCCTTTGAATTGTTGCTCATCGCTTCATTCTGGTCACTTTGTGTCTACGTGTTTAGCGCACAAAAGGAAGTAACTCCTGTTGACTACGCGAATGGCGCATGGAAGAAACAAAAAACCAGATGGCAGTAAGTATATATATATATATATTTTTTTTTTACCCCCCCTCATGCACCCGACTTGTTTTTGACACATCCGGAAGAAATTATGTTGTGTAGATGCCATTTCTTGCTGCAGAAAACGCCGTACGGTCCCAATCTGTTTTGGGCACGGAGGTGCATCAACGCAGTAATGTGATTGTTTTTTTGAGTTTTTTGGGACACAGCAGCGTTTTTGCACGACGGGAACCAAAACGGATGGGACAGCACACGTACAGCACTTCCCGGCCCTTCAGGTGCTGGACTGTCCCAATCTTTTGAGTAAAAACATTATACTGTCACCAATCTTTTTGAGGACGAAGGTGCAGAACCGCCGTCCTGTCCCAAACTCTGTGTGTGGTTTTATACCTCCGGAGCCCTGAGAGGATTTTTTTTGAGTTTTTTGGGGACATTACAGCGGTGTTGCACGACTGGAACCAAAGCGATTGGGACAGTGCAGCACTTCATCCCGTGCAGAAAACACTGTACGGCCCGAATTTTTTGAGGACGGAGGTGCAAAAAAAGGCTGTGCTCTTTGGTTAATGCCTCCAAAGACCCTGAGAAGACTGTTCTCTTTGAGTTTTTGGGGACAGTACAGCGTTTTTGCACGGCTAAAACCAACAAGATTGGGACAGTGCAGCACTTCTGCCCCTTCAGGTGCAGAAAACGCGGTGCTGTCCATGCAGCAAATGTACTCATGTCAGTTCACTCCGAAAGTAAACCGGTACGACATTCAACGAACATCGTTACTATAGGAGGAGATCAAGGTATCTCGCCGCTACGGAGATCCTGGAAGCAATAAGGTTCAGGTACAAACAAGTAGAAGCTGTTCTTCTGCTTGAGGAAAAAGGAGATTCAGATGCCGGAAAACCTGTAGCTCATTTGTGCAAAAACGCTGTGCTGTCCCAACCTCGGTGGTCTCCAGCACTGGAAACCCTGAAAGCATTGGATGTTTTTGAGTTTTTTGGGACAGTACGGCGTTTTTGCTCATCTGGGCACAAAACATTGGGACTGTGCAGCGTTTTCTGCACCTGAAGGGCCTGAATACTGTCCGAATCTTTTTTGGTTCCAGTTGCCCTGTGAGGGGTCTGTCTAAAATCCAGAACCCCTTAAACCTTAATGCTAATTACTGCCGCCGGCTGCGACGGTACTTGAGGCAGCGTTTAGTTCCATTGATGATCGATGAGCTTCTTGACTTCCTTGATGTGCTTCTTGACGGGGGCTTTTAGCACCAACCAGGCGGCGAACTTCTAACGGTTCTAACGCTAGGAAAGCGGCGGGTGACTGCACATCTTCTTGAGTTCTGTGAAAATGAGCTAATAGCTTTGAACAAACTTCTCGTGCTAACCCCGAATCTCCATTAAGCGGTCGTGCCCTTCCCAAATTCTCCGCAGAGCTCTCTTATAGCGCCCCCTTCGAGCCCCACTTCTTAGGTGCAGAGGTCCAAGAGGACCATGGCGACCTCGGCCTGGTGGAGAGCGGAGGAGGACACCGTTTTTTTTTGCTCAGTTTGCCCTCACGGTCCTCCCATTTTGTGTGCGCATCAATTGGCCTTTCTCAAGATTTTAGTTAAAAAAGAAGTTCGCTGTGCTCAGAAGTGGATGGCCAATTGGCGGCGCGCCTGGAGACGTCGCCGAGCCCGCATGCCACGTCCGAACCCAGCAGCGCGCAGTTCGGCATCACATAGATGTTTGGCTTGTGTCAGTTCTTGTCTTGATTGAAAGCAATTTGTTCAAGCGACAAAGCTTTTAAAAGTGTCTGTATGTGACGGAGGCAAGTTCCAGCTTCAGAAAGCCCAGCACATCCCGAAGAAGCCGAAGAAGAAGGCCACACGTTCGACATCCAGCACCCGCAGCCTGCATGGCGTGACATTCTGCGGCAGGCTTGGAGATGCCGGACGTTCTAAGCCCAGAGGAGAAGCAGAGGATATACTTGGAGGACCCCACCTCTCTTGTCCGACCTGCAGTTCTTCGAACAGGGACATAAGAGCCGGGCTTGGATGAGCCATGGACTTCGAGCCTTGCAAGCCAGAAGCCTGCCAAAGCCTGTTCACGAGCCTCCCTGACCTCCCGATGACCTCCCTAAGTCCCTTAAGTCTTGATGCAGTTTTCGAAGTCCGATATCCCAATCAAGGCAAAGGGAAGTTGGGCTCCCACAAGGCCTTGCAGAAACTCCACAGCTTTGTGTACTCAGATTACACAGGATTACGCAGACTCTCGGCCAATAGTCACCTCAGCGTGGGGAGAGCAGCCGGGAGAGAGAGCCCAAGTGAGACCGAGTATCCCGAGACATGACCGGAGGCCACACCGAACTAAGTTAACTTGTGGAACGCTCGCGTTCGAACACAGAGTTCGGGGGATCAAGGGGGAAGGGAAACTGTCTGGGCCCCTGTGCTTTGTAGGTCTGTCAGAACATGATAAGACAGCAACTGCACCAATGTGTGTGCTTGCACTTGGTTCCTGGCTCAGGCATGTTTGTCTTGAAACAGTGCAGGGAATATGCCCCCCCCCCCCCCCTCCCCTCTAAAGACCCACCCTGAACATGATTTCAGCGAAACCCCCCGTAAGGAAGAAATTTATCGCGGTGGGTTGTGGGAGAGTGCGGGGAGGGGCAGCGGCAGGCTTAATTCATTCGATTCAGTTCCATTTAGTTTTTGAATCGGGTGGAGGGGGAGGGGCTTGATTCACTTGATTCACTTGATTCACTTGATTCAGTGATTCAACTTTTGAATCAAGCCGAGATCCAAAATTCAAGGTTCAAGATGCCGGATTCAAGAACTGAATCAAACTGAAGCAAATTAATGAGCTTGCGAGTCACCCACCCCGTCCCCCACCACCCCACCACGATGAATTTCTTCCTTCCGGTGGGGCTTGGGAGGCAATCCAACTTTCAAATTGTCAGTGAGCTTTAATGTTTAAGGAGGCTCTTTAGGGCAAGCATCTCATGGTTAGGGAATTGGTTGAACCTTTGGGGTTAAGGGAAGCTCGTTGTTTAGGAAAATTCTGGATGCGGCCCAGGGTTTTGTGTACTCGAGGTATTCATAGTAAACAAACAATGTTCAGGAAATTTTAGGCCTAGACCAATAACTTTTCGAAATGATCCAAACTATCTTTCATGTTTAGCGACCTTGTGAAGCTTCTGTAGTGGCTAGGGGAAAGTGTAAGGTTTTGGAATAGGGTGTCAGCCCAAACCTTCAACGTATAAGATTTCCGGGAATAGGGCTTAGGCTCAAACGTGCAGGGTACACCCCGCAGGCGCCCGAAGAATAATTATTTCTAACAATACTCGTCGAGAGTATGGGAATCAATAGGGTCTTGGCTTTAGCGGAGTTCCTGCAGCGGAAAGGGACCATGTAAGGCTTTGGAATAGGTGTCGGTCTGAACCTTCAAGAGGGTTTACCGGAACTGTTCCTAGGGCCAAAGCTTCAGGATACACGCTGCAGGCACCGAAGCATAGTTATTCCTAAGCAAGATTCGTTGGAAGTATGGGAATAGGGCTTAGGGCTAAACCTTACGGATAACGTTTTTTGATTTACCTTGCTTTATTGGGGCCGGTCCACGATCTTTGATGGCTGAACTCTTACGTGGCCGCCTGCGATGGTAGTGGTCCGTCCTGTGTCAGCACCGAAGCTTTTCAGAGAGACCGGATGCTAGTCCGAGACCAGATCAACTTTGGTGATCAAGGTGACCAAAGTGTCCGATCGGCATGCTTCGATCGGATGTCGCTATATAGCAAACTTTGCCACTGTCAAAAAGAGGCATGCGAAACATAACGATCGTCCGCATTGAGGATTTCAATCAATCTATGAGAGAGCGCTACATGATATGGTTGTCAAACAGTGAATGTTCGCCTGGCAGCTTTCGTCCGTGAAATCAAAAATGCTCCTCAGGAGCTTGAGCGCGAACAGGTGAAGGCTCGTGGAAAAACGGAGACATGTTGGCAGAGGAAAGTGTAGCATATGTACATGTTGGGGATGTCTTCAGTCTTCAGTACGTTTCTACAAGTGCCGAGCTTCCGCGCAAACATAGGGCAGCCTTTGCTTGCGCAAGGCCCAAGAAGTTGCAGAGGCGGCTGCTGCCACTAGACTGGCTGCACAAGCTACGCGCGCTGCAAAGCCTGAGCCGGAAGACGAGGACTCCAGTTCAAAGCCTTCGGGGTTTTGTTCGGCCTGGTCGTGGCACCACTCGATTGCAGGACCTTAGCGCCTCCGTAACTTTGCAGCGCAACGCGTCTCGAACCACGCCGTTGCTCCGAGAAGGCCTGCGGCTGGTTGTCTCTTCCTCAGAAGGTTCAACCATGTTCAACCCATGCCCTCTCCACCTGGCAGCTTTTCTCCCTGAGCTTGCTTGGCTTAAGGCCCCAGACAGTTGGGACTCGGACCAAGAAGAAAAGACTGGTCGTAAACGTCCAGATGTGTCCGGATCCCGGAGATATGCGCATCTGCAGTGCGCCGCGTGTGTTGTGCATCCTGGTGTGTATTCTGACACGGGACAACTCTGACAACTCTGATGAGGTCTCGCTTGGCCGCTTGTTGGGAAATCCTCGAGAAGGATGGTTTTTTGGGGCCATTTGGGTTCAGTTGTAATGGGTTTAGTGTTTAGCATTGTCCTGTCACGTTTCATTGGCTCAATGCTTTTAGAGGCTGGCATGGACTGTAAGCAGCTGGCAATGAAAATCATTTTCTTTCATGGTCTTGAATCTGGCCCTGGAGCGCGCAAGCACAAATGGCTTCAGGAGAACTATGCGAGCGTTGCTTGTGTGGACATGCAAATGTCTGTGGCAGATCCTATGAAAAGCCACAGCTTCGCTCGCAATGTTATGACGAACCTGTTCTTCACAGCGCCTTGGAATTTGCCTTCCCGCTGCATTGAATCGTCGCTTGAGCAATGCTTGAGCTGCCAGAAGGATGAAATGGCTTCTGTTGAACATCAGAATGGCGTATTGGTTGGTAGCTCATGGGGGGGTGCAGTGGCGACTCTTGCCATAGCCCGGGGTCTTTGGAGCGGACCAGCTGTTTTGATCGCGCCAGCGTACTTTGCCGTCATGGGTCGTTTTGGTGCCTACAGTCCAGAAAACGAGCCACTGGCAGTGTATGCGGCTATCTCGGAACGACTCAAGTCTCCTGACTACTGTGGTCAAGTGATCGTCGTGCATGGCACGGCAGATGAGAGAATTCCCATCGACCACAGTCGGACGATGGCAATGGCCACGGGCATGCGACTGTTAGAAGTTGAGGGTGCAGATCATTCAATGAGGTGCTTGTTGCAAGGCACAGAAGGCGATGCCCCTCTAAAGTCAATCATACAAGATGCCCAGAGAAGCAAAGCGCTGTGAGCCAAAGCATTGACAGCTGATACCATGGCTGATGCCAACATGGACTCGATAATCTGGCCACTATCTTGCCGCCTGGAGTTTCACGCCCCGTTCTGCAGGTGAGCTGATCTCACTGGATAGTGTAGACTGAAATGAAGGGAGGTGCACTCCCGCAGTTGCTCGACCCTGCCTGGACAGACTCAGACGAATCTCGCACAAGCCTCACACCCTTTGACAGCCTAGTATTCTGCTGGCGAGCGGTTGCAAAATGCCATGAGTCCACCGACCTCCACTTGAGGGTTGTGCAAAGGCCCTTGTCTTCGATTGTTAATAAAAGCAGGGATTTCGTAAGTGGTCCGTGAAAGACTGGCGCAAGACACCGCTGAAGATTTTGCACTTATGCTCTGGAATATGATGCACGCAAGCTCCGTGAAAGACTGGCGCAAACGACTCACATTCGGCGAAGACTGTTAATGTCTGTACGAAGGAAAATAGGACAATCACCAGTTATTTCAGCTGGAGTGCTTGTTTTTCGTGTTTTCCTGCTTCTTGACGCTTGTCAGGAAAACTGAGTTGCCCAGTTTCGTTGAACAGGATTTCGAGACTGTCTTGGAGGCCGAGCATCAGAGAATAGACGAGGCGCAAACTCCATTAGGTTGCTCCGTCAATCGCGCATGACTGCTGCGTGCATCCCCGCGCGCAGCATGCAGACGTGTCGCAATCACTGCAGGACTTGGACCGCGAGACACAATCCTATCTGGTGAAGATAGAGGCTTGGTATTTGCGCGTTTGGCCTAGCAGGGACGATGCCCAAGCCAGCGACGGATGAGCACAGAGAAGTCGCTAGCAAGCATTTTTCAACATCTTGCAAGGCTCAGGAGAAAGACTTGAAGGAGAGAATAGAACTCCGAGCAAAGGCAGCGCGGATGCAACGGTTTGCCAGTGAGAAAATGCTTAAGTTTCGCCATTAATGCCACTGTTTGAATCGATTTGATTTACATTGGCAACGAGTCAAAGATGAAAAGTTCCTGGTGCAGGCATGTCTGGTTTTTGAGCAGATTGGTCGAAACATCATGAGTTTGCTTTCTTCTTGCGTGTCGTAGAAACGATCGTGTAACACGATGCGGAACACAGATGTCAAATGGCTTGGTTGCGTTCCAAACTCCACAGAAACTTAGGCTCCCCCGGACCCCAAGCTCCAACGCGGCCAGGAAAAACAAAGTCGCCTTAGGTCCGAAACAGTTTCATCATTTGGCTTGAATTCCAACTGCCAGAGATGACTTTCTTCTCAAATTGGTGCAATTTGGGGTTCTCCACATGCCGGTGCCGCCTGCACCACGATTTTTTCCTTTGTAGCACGCTGCCAAAATATGAGTTCACTGCCACCACAAGTATTGTTGGGAGCCAGGAGTTGTGACATTTAGCACTTGGCCCAGGTGGCAGAGACAAAGGACCCCGCAAAGGCGCAGCAATTGCGTAACATGGCAGAGCCTGAGGCTGAGCCAGACCATGCGAGCGAGGGATGTAGAAGCAATCGTTCAAAATTATTCCGTAAGTGTTTGGAATTGAGAAGACGGGTGCGCACGTGTGATTTGCCCGGTTCATGTTCATCATGCCAAGGTCGGTCACGCTCGCTGCAGATGCGGCGCGGCGTACGAAGCACACTGCAAAGGCATGGCCCTTGCCCTCGCAACCAGTCGAATGATTCACTGTCAAAACACGTTTCCCAAGGCAGCAAGAAGCAGCATCGCCCGGCAGAAGGCACAAGTAATCGTCGGCATCCACCGGACAAAGCCGACTTTTGTGTGTATCAGGTGGCCGCACGGAAGCGGGCTTTAGAAAAGGCATTAGGACCAGAGCCTGCGGAAGCTGCAAGTCGTGTCGGCGCCCTGGTTTGTGTACGAATGTATACGCACGTCAGATCAGAGCCTTGATGCCGAATTGCCGAGCACATGTTCAGGAAATACTTCGCATGCAGCTTCCCAGCCAAGAGGCGAGTACAGTGGTTTAACGACCTCAGACGTTGAGATCAGATGGTAAAGCGAGGCTTTGTCGACAATGTCACCACAAGAAGTCCTGGCAGAGGCCATGACTGCTAGGCTTGTGAGCAATCAAACTTTGTTCTATTGACAAAGTGCTGCTTCCCGGAAGTCAGGTTTCAGCTACTGCCGCCACTTGTTTCCGATCCCTCCAAGTTGTCGCACTGCGACCGCCGGACGAGACTGGCAGGCAAACTCCCCGTGCAAATCGCTGCATTGTCGCTTGTTTTCTGTCGCTGCAGTACTCGGAGGTTAGATCCTGACCATGGCGGAATTGCAGCTGGGATCAGTTTGGCATGATCTGGATTGGTAGCACGAGGGCTAGCAGCGAAACCGTTCTGACAAGCCGGGAAGAAACACAGAGCGTGAGAAGAAGGTGCAAACTGGGCAGAAGGACTTGGCGCAGCAATCCTAGAGTGCCAAAGATGCGCATAGTTGCACCGTGGGGCCGAGCCACACTGAAACTTGGATTTGCAATGTGATGCACCTTGACTGTCTTGAGGCTTGCAGCTGCCGAAGCTCTTCCTGAATTGACGTCGTGTCTGGAAGCACTGAGAAAGCGACTGCAAGAAGAAAAGGATACCCCGCCACGTTCCTAGAAGCAGTTCAACCGATCTATTGGCCTGTAACAACTTGCGACACGATATGACACGTTTTTGCCCCGAGCATAGCTAAGGCCACAGGTTGATCCAGTCCTCCGATCAATCGCAACCGACGAAGACAAGAACCTCAGCTTCGATTGTGTGTTGATATGCTTTGGGGCGCAGCAGTCTGACGTTTGGCCCCAGCCGACCCGCCAGCACCAAATGCCGGGAGGAAGCAAAAGCAGGGCATCAGAGGTGGCAGGATGTCAACACAGGCTAGTAGCAACAATGCTCGACAATGGTCCCAAAACCCTGACAAAGCCCCTAACACCAGAGAGAAATTGCAATGCAGCGCATGCAACGGCTCGAATGAATGAAGCACACTTAATTATGCGCTGAGGATGAGCAAAGATGACAAGCGTGATTTCATCATGTTTGAAGGCGAGGGCCAGCCAGCTTTCGGAATAAGCTTAAGAAGTTGGAGAGTTCTTCTCACGTTCACAAAGTGTCCCACCGGCGCTGCAGGGCAACAGGAGTACGACTGGGAACGAAGCATCAACATCAAGATGAAGGAGCAAGTCATAGCATTTCTGTCGAAACTGCTTAAGGTGCTATTCGGGGAGGACAGCAAAGACCCACAGCCTACGCAATCTACGCATTCCTTGACAATATTCAGTCACCAGGAGCAGATGCGACGGCGGGAAGTTCACATGAAGGAGAGCCTGGAAAGGGTGAGTCAGGCTCTCCACCGACGATGGCGCAGACAACGTGACAGGCTCCTGTGTGTCCTGCGAAGTGACGGAATCAGAGCAGATTTTTCATAGACTGCTCCACCAGGGACAAGGCGCACGCTATGGAGCGAATTGCCGCTCTTCGGAAGGTCATGGACGACACGGAGGTACCAGTGTCTTAAACCAGTTATCCTGAACAGAGCCAAAATGCATCTCTAGTGTGTGTTGCATTGTGATCCATTGTGTGGCTTCGAGGACGAGCTGGACAAGATCCGAAAAGAACAGGCGGAAGCTACAGAGAAAGAGGCCGGTCGAAGCTGGACGCGAATATCCGAGGGTCCCTCACGAAGTCGGTCCCGTTCAAACCCTAGAAGTTTTTCACCACAGCGGCATGGTGGGCGCTCCACGCAGGTGGAAGCTTTGGAAGGTGAAAGGCGACGCCTCCAGGAGCAAACGCGCGTGTTGATGCTGCAGCCACAGCGTCATGGGGCATTGGTGCCCGTGGCTGATTCACAGTCTCGGTGGAGCTCAGGTCCGCTGCCTTGGTCGTTCGCCAAGAAAAGGCACGGATAAACAAGGCCAGGCAGTGTTGACAACATCTTGGCTGGTCGGAAGGGTCATAAGATCGGAATGCATGCCCCCGATGCAAATTCACAATGAACCGCTACAACAACCCCCCCCAGTCAAGGCGTGGTATGCTGAGCAACGGGAGAAGAAGGCGTTGACCTTTCAGCCCCTGGGATTTCGAGCAGGTGTGCTAGCTTGCGCAGGAGTGTCTTTTGCTTATCAGGTTATCGGCTGTAGAATTTTCGAGGTGGTTAGCTTGGAAAGTCGTCCCTGCGTGCTGGTCAACATAGAGTTGTGAAGTATGGTCGGTGCAAGTTACAACAGACTCACAAATGACATGCGCGGGAGAATGCGCTGGCCACAGAAGTTGCCAAGAACTGCCAGATGATGCTGGATGGTCCCTTCGCATGTCTAGTCGATTGAAAGATTCGCAACGAACTCAACTTCCGGAGCTACAGGTCAGACTGGTCAAGTCCCTCTCCGGGAGGGGGTGAACATGCGGGAACCAGCTCCTGGTGTACTCCACCAAGGAAGCATCCGATCAGGAGCTAGATGTGGAGCTACGGACAGGAAGAGGGCCAAGTCATCGTAGAGCAACCAACTATCTCCGGGCCCAGAGCTGGATGGGCAGGTGCGCAGACATGCAACTGCTGGGATACCTAAGTCTCTCTCTCTCTTTCCTCTTTCTCTCTTTTTCTCTCTGTTCTCTTTCTCTCTTTCTCTCTTTCTCTCTTTCTCTCTTTCTCTCTTTCTCTCTTTCTCTCTTTCTCTCTTTCTTTCTTTCTCTCTTTCTCTCTTTCTCTCTTTCTCTCTTTCTCTCTTTCTCTCTTTCTCTCTTTCTCTCTTTCTCTCTTTCTCTCTTTCTCTCTTTCTCTCTTTCTCTCTTTCTCTCTTTCTCTCTTTCTCTCTTTCTCTCTTTCTGTCTTTCTCTCTTTCTCTCTTTCTCTCTTTCTCTCTTTCTCTCTTTCTCTCTTTCTCTCTTTCTCTCTTTCTCTCTTTCTCTCTTTCTCTCTTTCTCTCTTTCTCTCTTTCTCTCTTTCTCTCTTGCTCTCTTTCTCTCTTTCTCTCTTTCTCTCTTTCTCTCTTTCTCTCTTTCTCTCTTTCTCTCTTTCTCTC